ATACTTATCATTAATTTTACTAACTGCACATTTACAAATTATTTCTCTAAATAAACTTTTTATATACTATAAAATAATTTTTAGTATTATTTTCTTAACAAGAGTGTTAAAAAACGTCGTATGATGATACTTGGTGTCCGTGATGCTAGCGTACCCACGATCAATATACGGTTTTTCGTTATGCCATTAAATAGTGCCAAATTAGTGTAAAAATAAAAAAAATAGTGCCTCTTTAATTTAAGAAATAAAGACCATTTTACTGTGTACGCTACCATGACGTCAAGCTAGCGTACCCATGGCCGTCCCCAAGAACGGCATATATTTAAGCAACGAAATTGACACACAAAAATAGTTCGCAAATAGTGCCCTGGCTTTACAAAATTTCATAATCAATACTCTTAAAGGACCAAAGATATTGAACTAAACATTCTTAGCTGGCGTCAACCTGGCGTACCCATAATAGTTCTCAAAGAAAATGAACTTTTTTCGTTATCTATCTATATGTATAAATAGTGTGTCAAATAGTGCCTCTAACAGTAAAACTATTTTATGTTAATTCGCAGTAAAACAATATAAAAAAAGCAATTAAATTATTTTTATATATGAAGTACAGTCATGTACAGAAGTGATAATATTTTCGTAGTATAGTAGGTAAGTAAGGTATTGAAATTCTTATATGAATTTATGATTGGTAAATTCGAATTGAAATAAAATCATAACTATAATCGCTATTTCTTCTTTCAAATGTTTAATACTTGAAAAAGTATTCATTTGACATTGTGGGTTACTTACAATGCGAAGAGATGGCGCTGCCTTGCAGCTTAAGGCTAGGAAAATTTCGACGCGGCTAATAGGGCCGTGGTAGCATAATGGTCAGTGCATTCGCCCGGATAGCGAAGGATGCGGGTTCGAGTCCCGCCCGCTGCCTGGTCCGCGTGGAATTTTTACTAGTAAACTTTTCTTTAGATTTTAACATCTAGCAGTTAAATGCTTAAAAAATAAATAAAATCTAAACTATAATTGCTATTTCTTCTTTCAAATGTTTAATACTTAAAAAAGTATTCATTTGACATTGTGGGTTACCTACAATGCGAAGAGATGGCGCTGCCTTGCAACTTAAGGCTAGGAAAATTTCGACGCGGCTACTAGGGCCGTGGTAGCATAATGGTCAGTGCATTCGCCCGGATAGCGAAGGATGCGGGTTCGAGTCCCGCCCGCTGCCTGGTTCGCGTGGATTTTTTTCTAGTAAACTTTTCTTTATATAATATCTTTTTATAAAAAGTACCTATTTATTATAGTAAAAACACATATATAGATAATCTCTTAATGCATAAATTAATTTTGTGTGTAACTGTACTACAATACATTTGTTCCTAGAATTTAACACCCTCTTTATGTATTGTTGTGATGCGGATTCACAAAAAATACTTTTACTGTTAGAGGCACTATTTGACACACTATTTATACATATAGAATAGATAACGAGAAAAGTTCATTTTCTTTGAGAACTATTATGGGTACGCCAGGTTGACGCCAGCTAAGAATGTTTAGTTCAATATCTTTGGTCCTAAGAGTATTGATTATGAAATTTTGTAAAGCCAGGGCACTATTTGCGAACTATTTTTGTGTGTCAATTTCGTTGCTTAAATATATGCCGTTCTTGGGGTCGGCCATGGGTACGCTAGCTTGACGTCATGGTAGCGTACACAGTAAAAATGGTATTTATTTCTTAAATTAAAGAGGCACTATTTTTATTATTTTTACACTAATTTGGCACTATTTACGCACTATTTAATGGCATAACAAAAAACCGTATATTGATCATGGGTACGCTAGCATCACGGACACCGTAAATAGTGCCAAATTAGTGTAAAAATAAAAAAAAAAGTGCCTCTTTAATTTAAGAAATAAAGATCATTTTTACTGTGTACGCTACCATGACGTCAAGCTAGCGTACCCATGGCCGACCCCAAGAACGGCATATATTTAAGCAACGAAATTGACACACAAAAATAGTGCGCAAATAGTGCCCTGGCTTTACAAAATTTCATAATCAATACTCTTAAAGGACCAAAGATATTAAACTAAACATTCTTAGCTGGCGTCAACCTGGCGTACCCATAATAGTTCTCATAGAAAATGAACTTTTATCGTTATCAATTCTATATGTATAAATAGTGTCACAAATAGTGCCTCTAACAGTAAAAGTATTTTATGTGAATCCGCATCACAACAATCCATAAAGAGGATGTTAAATTCTAGGAACATATGTTTGTAGTACAGTTACACACAAAATTAATTTATGCACTAAGAGATTATCTATATATTTATTTTTACTAAAATAAATAGGTACTTTTTATGAAAAGATATTTTATTTCAATTCGAATTCACCAATCATAAATTCATATAAGAATTTCAAACTACCTACTGTAAAGTACCTTACTTACCTACTATACTACGAAAATATTATCACTTCTGTACATGACTGTACTTCGTATATAAAAATAATTTAATTGCTTTTTTATATTGTTTTACTACGAATTAACATAAAATACTTTTACTGTTAGAGGCACTATTTGACACACTATTTATACTTATAGAATTGGTAACGAGAAAAGTTCATTTTCTATGAGAACTATTATGGGTACGCCAGGTTGACGCCAGCTAAGAATGTTTAATTCAATATCTTTGGTCCTTTAAGAGTATTGATTTAGAAATTTTGTAAAGCCAGGGCACTATTTGCGAACTATTTTGTGTGTCGATTTCGTTGCTTAAATATATGCCGTTCTTGGGGTCGGCCATGGGTACGCTAGCTTGACGTCATGGTAGCGTACACAGTAAAAATGGTCTTTATTTCTTAAATTAAAGAGGCACTATTTTTTTTATTTTTACACTAATTTGGCACTATTTACGCAGTATTTAATGGCATAACGAAAAACCGTATATTGATCGTGGGTACGCTAGCATCACGGACACTGATACTTGTGTGTATTAATAATTACCTAACGGCTCTGGTCTCAATGGCATCTCAGCGGTAATCACCAATATTACACACTTTTACACTATAAAGTACTATTTTATCTACAATAATTTTATTCTGATTCAATTAAATATGCTTGGCTAAACTTTTTATAAGCATAAGTACCTACTATATATAAAACAGAAACAAAATACGACTGTATAAGGGTTGCTACATGCATACTAGTGGCGCCATCATTTAATGTCATGACTTTATAGACAAACTGTAGATAGGTACTTGTGACAAGTACAACTCAGTGGATCGCGCTGGACTTTTGGCTGCGTTTGCGTACCCCCCTCAAATATCGATACAGGTTTGGATAATTGTATAGGCGTCGGCAACTTCTTGAGCAAAACTAGAAACAAAATAAACTTGCGCAGTAGACGTTTTTGTAAGCAAATTGCTACTATGTAGGCTTCCTTGTCTATGGTCGTCGTTTAAATTCAGCCCTGTCTTCCATACAAAACTTGACATTTGACGCGTATCGAGTACGAATTCAACAACTATTCAAATTAGATATTGGTTCGTGCAGGTTCATGCCATGCGGAATCCAAAATCTATATTACAAAACCTTTTATATTTACAAGCAGACAATGGTGTCGATTCTAGAGTGATTCTCTAAACTTAAAACTAAATTTAACATCGGTCTCTCCTTGTCATTCTGTATAGAGAATGGCAAGGATGCACTGTTGTCAAATTTAAATTTAGCTTTAGAGAATCATGCCAGAATCGACCTGAACGGTGTAGATTCTGGCATGATTCTCTAAACTTAAAACTAAATTTAACATCAGTCTCTTTTTTTCGTACTTCAAAGAGAATGACAAGGATACAATGGTGTCAATTCTGGCGTGATTCTCTAAACTTAAAACTAAATTTAATATCAGTCTCACCTTTTCATTTTGTATAGAGAATGACAAGGATGCACTGTTGTCAAATTTAAGTTTAGCTTTAGAGAATTATGCCAGAATCGACATCACTGTTGTCAAATTTAAGTTTAGATTTAGAGAATCATGTCAGAATCGACACCATTATATTTTAAAGTACGTCCATGGTTATTATTCTGAAGTAGAGGGACTTCTTAATCTATGATCGAGTCAGCTGCTTCTGTGACAGATAATCTGTCAGTGTCAGTCAGTGATTGATTTGATAGCTTTTCACAATTGTTTTTGTAATTTTACCTGTTTCTTGGAGTTTCTTTTCGGATCGGATTAGCACTCAAGCGATTTTAGGGACAAATGACGTTTGGTAAAGGTTCTACTCTGAACTGGAACATTTGTTTTGGTAGCAATGGAAATTATTTCTTCAGAAATATGACAGAAAATAGGTACAACAATACGACTCTTTCAATTATTTAAGTTAATTACTCTTCTTCGAATTCAATACCTACATACATGTTTTTTTTTTTCAGAAAAAGATCTCGTGAAGATGACACGTGTGAATTTATGCCGTTATCAAAAAGAATTAATAACCTGCACATAAACAACACTCTTGGCAGTACCAGCTTACAACAGAACCATGATTCTAGTCAAGTTAATGGAATTAATATGGAATCTGGCATTTCATCTCCCAGTTCATCTTCTGACTCTGATAGAAGACCTAGCTATGATCCTGGTGTAAATTCTTCTCAGAGCAATTATTATTATGATAATAAATTATTATTTGAATTGCATTTAGAAAGAATACAAAGATCTGGACAACAATACCCATTTTAGAAGTACCTTATAGTTGTAAGTCTTTTGTACCTTTACTATTATGTTGTGCCTACTGTCTATCTTTGTATTTAATTCATAATAATTATAAAAATAAATAAGTATTATGTACTGGACTTATAATTTTTTACTTCTCATGCAAGAACCCAATGTAGGTGTGTATAGTGGTTGGCCAGAAAGGGATGGCTGTAATCATTATGTCAAAAAGATGCCATTTCGACCAATCATGGCATTGCTTACCAACGCCATCTAGTATTACATTTTTACATCAAGAAAACAGCTATGGCGGATATCATTTTGTTGTAATGCCAAATAGAGTGAAGGGCCTTGGTGTTTATTTTCGAAGAGAAATTCGTGGGCTTTAAATTATAATTATTAGTGTATGTAATGTAATTAATAAATTACTTGTGTACGGCGAAAAACTGGATAAAGGTAAGTGTGCATCATAATTTATTTTCTTGTGGGAATATCCGTGACCCTATTTACCGAAGCGGTATTCCGATTTACCGTTACCCGAGCGCGTGGCGGTCACAGTGCTGTCTAGAGAGTGCCGTGAGGTCCGCGACTCCGCGTTCAACCCCTCCTCTCGCTTTTTTCCTGCCAGTGGAGGAAGGAGTCGGGAGCGGGAGTGATTTTGGTGTGTGGAAGGCACATGGAGGGGATCTTGCACCTTGGTGGGGATGCGTCGCGTCGTGCGTGATGGACGTTCAACGGGGAGAGTTCAACTGGTAGGGGTGAACAACCTTCGAATCTTTGTTTGCAGACCTCGGTCATCACCAGAGGTCCGGCTCATCTAAATGAATTGAATGATTTTCAGACGAACTTCTAAGATAATTGCGTAACTGGGAAAATCCGGCCTTTTTGTTGGCAGTCTTTTGTCCTCATATTTTTCTTATTTTGTTAGCCAATGAAAAAGTATAAGATGTATCAGGGTTTCTATAAAATTTCTCATTAATAAGTTTCCCTTTTTTTAATTTTAATTATAAAACAATTCCATTGATTTTTTTAGATTAAACTAGTTATAATATGCCACAATAATCAACTAATGACCTTGGTGTGGTATTTTAAAAATGACATGGTCATTTGTAAATGTTCTGTAATAAAAAAAATGTTTCTATATTTTACTTCAATTTATAATAAAAATATCAATCGATATAATTTCATTAAAATTGTTATTTATGGCTTATTTAATTAACTCTCTTGCTTTAATTACTGTAAAATGTTAAATCTTAAGCCTGTAATATCAAAAGTTAATTGTAAATTATGACTGTTTAAAACTGTTTAATGAAAAAAAATCACTAATGTGGATTATCCAATCAAACTCCTTACAGTCACTGAACCACAACCACACCTCTGCATGTATCTTGTGAAAGTACAGCAAAGAGAAAGTGAGGATCACATTAGAACAACATGCACATATACTGATTGTCTGCCGTGTGTATAGCTGACTTGCTGGTTGACTATCGACTCTGCATAAAAAACTTTCTTTAACCCACTTTCTTATTAGTAGTACGCGATCATCTTTCGCCTCTCACCGTTGTTGTTGAATTAATTTTAGTGTTGTGCGTTTGGTGGTTGGTAGTGGTATGTGCCCTACCATCGTTGTCCCAGTGCAGTCCTGTGTGGTGGGAAGGGACGTGGGGATAGCCGCGGGTGTTTTGTGAATGAGCTGAGTGGGATTGTGTTTTTTTTTTCGTCGTCTTTTTGTCCCGCCGCGGCGGCGGTGCGGTGGAGGAAACGATGTGCGACATGCAGAATATGCCCACAAGAGAGGATGCCTCTTGGTATGGGAGAGTGATTTGTCTCTAGGTTTCAAAACAAACATGCTGGGCTTATGCTTCTTTTGAATATTTGCCTGATTTCTTAGTGTGTTTCTATAAAGCTTTCAGTTTTAAATTCTATTTAAAGTAGAACACACATTTCAAAACATTAATTGTGCACTGATTTTTTAAATTTCTATTAACTTAATTCATAAATAATTAATAAAGTTTACAAATAATTTTAAAAGATGAAAAATTATAGAACAAATAGGATAGAAAGTATTATGGATAAGCCTTACAAGTATTAAGCAATGCCTTAGACTCACTTTCACTTTTATGCAATAACTGGCCAATTATTATTTGCAAAGATGATGTTACTTTTTTACCTATTTTAATAATTCGTATTGATCATAAGACATTAAATAAAATATTTGTGTACTATAATAATACAATATTATAATTTTTAGTATCCCTCCCAACTACTGCCATACATTCGCTCTTATACCTGGTATTGTATTTTACTGTTAACTTTGAGAGTTAATTAAATATTATTTTGTCAGCAGTGACGAAGACTCAGAGATGAATTTTGCTGCATTCTCAACAATGGGTGCCACTGGCACTCATTTTGTGACAACAACCGGTCAAATCCCGGTTGCAAAACTACAACAGAATGTCTCTAATAATGGCAGCACTCTTTCGCAGGTAATTTTATTGTCAACAATTGCTTAACCAATAATATTAATAAAGAAAATCTTAATCTAGCAATAGATACACGGCAGTTATATTTTATTTAACGTAACAAATTTTAAAAACATTTCCTTAACACAAATTTTTCATGGGTCTTGCCAGCTAAGGTAGAAAGACAATCATTGATTTTGATTTTTTAAAGTCAATAAAACATCATTATATTTTAATGAACATAAAAGTTTAGTAATTAAAGCACACCATAACATGCTCGATCAGTTGATAGAACATCAAAAGAGATTCTGCAAATGCACATAATAAAAAGACATTATTTCAAGTGGGCCTCCTCAAGGCTAATGAATAGGCACTTTCCAGGTAAGGCGAGACAATAGTGCCTTATTGGTTGATTCATCGTAAAGAATGATTGATAAATTACCTATATAAATCATTTTTTCAATAGGAGTTTTGATCATAGACATTTTACCTTATTAATGCTAGCACTTCACATAACTGATTATATTTGCTATTTGTTATAAGTATATAGTATAGAATACATGATAAGGATATACATGGATAAATATTTTTTTAAGCATTTAATTGCTAAATGTTAAACTCTAAAGAAAATTTTACTAGAAAATATTCCACTTGGGTCAGCTTTCTGACCCAGGCTATTTGCTAATGGTTTTTGATTTAAAGAAGTGATGATCACCAAGCTATTTACTTAAACGCTATTGCTTTATTATAACGCCACTATTCCTGTAATTAAAAGCATCGAAAATTCAAACAAAATGAGCGAGCCTTACAGTAATCGCTTATGATGTGTAACATTTGAAACCTCACCTTATATTAGTAAACAAGAAATAAAACCTACTACAACAGGAATAAGCCATTTGAACACTATGTTCTATAATCAAATAGCGCGCTCTCGCGACTTCCTGTTACACACTTCCGTCCCATTTCACGAAATTGCTTCCACAAATTGCAGGAAAGCAAGAGGAAAGATGTTACACATCAAAATAAGTTTATGTATAAGCCATTGGAACTGGTCCAAGTGGTTTTTTTCTAGTAAAAAAATCCGTAGTATACATTTATGTCAAGTTTACAAATAGCAAACATTAATGTGATGTACTAGCATAAGACATAGATATTTATATTTATAAGACATGGTTCAGCAAACATTTTATAGCTACTTTTAGACAAGGCGTTTGACCACAATCTCGCCTGATGGAAAGCGATGATGAGGCCTAGGATGGTACACGCCTGCCTATAAGATGCCTGTTCACTCTGGCCTTGAAGATGTCCAGATTATATTGATCCGGGAAAACAGACCAACAGACCTCGGCAAGGAGTTCCATTCCCTAGCCGTTCGAATAATGAAAGCGGAAGCACATCGCTTCGTGCGAATTCGAGGAACTTCGACAACATAAGGGTGAAAGCCCTCGCCGCGCCTGGTCGCTCGGTGGTGGAAAGGGGAAGGGGCGATCAAATACTGAAAATATCAATTATTGATTAAAAGCAAATACTTCCCATTCCAGGTAGTAGGTATGGTGGGTGGCGTGGGTTTAGGCGACGGGGTTCAGTACGTTCGCACGTTGGAAGGAGGGTTGCAAGCGACACCGCAGCTCATCTCCGTGCCGATCGCACTACCCGGCGCTAAATCAGGCAAGATATTAAAATCTATATATATAAAAATCAATTGCTGTTCGTTAGTCTCGCTAAAACTCTAGAACGGCTGAACGGATTTATCTTGGCCTTGAAATGTTCGTGGAGGTCTAGGGAAGGTTTAAAAGGTGAGAAAACATGGAAAAATTGCGAGGAAGATAGAAAAACGTCAATTTAATTTCCCCATATAAACTGTTTTATCTTCTTTACTGTCAAACATTTAACGTTCGTCCCTTTTGGTACGTTAGACTCGGGTCCGTCATTTCTTCCAAATTATTTTAACCCGTACGAAGTACGCCGGGTTCAACTAGTAAATAAAATAAAAATTGCCCTAAACAAAGTTTAATAGAAAGCAATACACAGATCGTATTCAAAGTATTATTCCACAGAACAAAAAATAACGATTTCTTTCAAATGTTTAATATCTGTAAAGGTATTCATTTCACATTGTGGGTAACCTACAATGCTCAGAGATGGCGCTGCCTTGAAGCCTAATAAATACTAGAGAAAAATCGACACGGCCATCAGGGCCGCGGTAGCATAATGGGCAGTGTATTCGCCCGGATAGCGAAGGGTGCGGGTTCGAGTCCCATCTGCTGCCTGGTCCGTGTGGATTTTTTCTAGTAAAATTTTCTTTATATTAAAAAAATAGTAATCTAAAGTATTTAGTTATAGTTAGCATGTGAAATTTCAACAAAGCCTCAAACTATACTCACTGCTGGCTTTCGTAAATAAATTAATTTTAATTATGGCATTTGCAGGCGACCCACCGCAGACTGTGCAGATTCAGGTGCTTAACCCGAATATAACGCTGCAACACCAGCAACAACCGAAATATCACATGCAGATACCGATACAGGGATTCCAGCAAGGTAATTTGATTACTTTTCTACAACCTTTTTTTATGTAAAAAGGATGTTAAATAAAAAAAAACGAGTATGCTTATGACCACATGACTGAAGTCAAACTTCTTTAGATACATCTGTATGTACGTATATATATAAATATGTCTGTGTGTATATAATATATACATGTATGTACATATACATATTTCATTTACTACCTATAAGAGAAAGAGAGAAAGAAAATGAGCACGCACTGCTTTCTCTTGCTTATATCCCCCACTCAACTCCCGTTCGCCTCGCCCAGAACACACTTTTCGTAACGCGTAACGCATTCGCCAGCTTACCCCCCCATGTCAAGCGTGCGTAAAGAAGTTTCACTTCAATAATTAGTATAGATGCTATACTATATACCCTGTGGAGGTCTGGAAACCTTATACACCAACAGAAACTTAATACAGCAAAAAGTGTTGTTAATTCTCTATGGGTTCCTGTAAAAAATACCTACCTACAACGCGGGACACACTATTATTAATAAATAAATAAATATTTCCAACACTCGCACCATTTAGGCCTGTATTACAGAATGACAACTAAGTGTTGATCTTTACTTGAGTACAGTTAGAAAGGGATGTCGCTATGTGCTACATGTAGCGACATCCCTTTCGAACTATGGACAAGACTAGATTAATTACTGAATTTTTTTCTATAATACAGGCCTTAGTCTAGCCCCAAAGTAAGCACTATAAGGCTTGTGTTGTGGGATACTAGGGTAACAGATAGAATACATATACTGAGCATATATAAGTATATTTATATAGAAGTACATATTAAACATCCTTGACTGGAATACAAATGCTCGTATTCATCACACAAACAACTGCCCCCAACGGGATTTGAACCCGGGGACCTCTCGAGTCGACGACACCATGAAACTCGGCGTACAAACCACTCGGCCAAAGTGGGCAACTATTGAGATAGACTCTAAACCTTAACTTTTTGGCAAGTGTATCCCTGTCACGCTCTATACAGAATGAAAAGGAGAGTGTAATGTAAAATTTTGTTTTAAGTTTAGAGAATTATGCCAGAATCGACACCATAATCCTACTAATATTATAAATGTGAATGTTTTTAGGTTTGTATGTTTGTAACTGAATCAGGCAAGAATTACTGAACGGATTTGAATGAAATTTGGCACGCGTATAGCTTATGGCCTAGATTGAAACAAAAGTTACTTTTTATCCTAGAAAAATATTAGGTTCCTGTCCAAAAAAATCTAAGTGAAGGGGACGAAGTCGCGGGCGGCCGCTAGTTATATGGCTATGGGCGATTCTAATGTTCGACCAACATACTGCTGCAGTGCAATGATATGATCAAATATAGATGTGACGTAATTATTATAAAGCTGGCTTAATGCTCTCGACCGTTACACTGTTGCACTAAAATAGATCGCCGCTATTTAAGGTCACGTCACTTTGAAAAAGACGACTAATTTGGTGATAAAGTGAAAACTGGTTTATTTATAATGAAACCAGTTAAAGACTTTGTAATCGTTTAGGTTCGTTTGCAGCAGATGTGAATGGTTTTTATGAACGATGACGTCATGTGATGAATTTGGCACGACTTTGCCTTATTAGTCTCATTTGGTATCACAAGCACTCTTTTCGGGAACCTGGTGTCTTTTCAGAAATAAAGTAACGAAACCCATTTTTAATCATTTAACTGCTAGATGTTTAAATTAAAAGATTTTTTTATTATGTTTGATTTGATAAATGTTTTAATACTATTTGTTTGACATTGTGGGTTACCTACAATGCGAAGAGATGGCGTTACCTTGCAGCCTAAGATATATTAGAAAAAATTCGACACGGCCATTAAGGCTGCGGTAGCATCATTGGTCAGTGCATCCGCTCTGAAAGCGGAGGGTGGGGGTTTGAGTCCAGTCTGCTGCCAGGCCGCGTGTTTTTTTTAGTTAAGTTTTTCTTTATATGTTATCAAATATAGTCTCCAGTGTCAACTTATATACTGTATTTGTTGTCACAGGTGGAGCTGTTCTTACAGTAGCATATTCACCTGAAGCGAACGAAGCCGGGGGCATACAATTAGTTGGACAAAATGGACTACCTGAAGGTAAACTTATATTGAGTGCAAAATAAAATGGGACTGATTCTGTCATGATTCTCTAAACTTTAAACTAAATTTCACTACAGTCTTTCTCTTTCATCGATAAAGAACAAGACTATGAAGATGTTGCAAGTAGTTAGCGCGTTCGGCTGCGATCATTGAAGTTAAGCAACTTTCGCAGTGGTCGGTCATTGGATGGGTGAACAATTTAATTCGATTTTCTCCGTCCTTCGGAACTCACTTTAAGCCATTTGGTCCCTGCTGCATGGCAGTCGTTAACACCCACCAATCCGCACTGGGCCTGCGTGGTGGATCAAAGCCCAATCTCCCTATTCCATTCATAAGGAAGGCCTGTGCCCCAGCAGTGGGGATATTATTAGGCTAATGATGATGATGATGAACATGACAAGACAAAGGTACTCAAAATCTATTTTACGTCATATCAGAATCGGGCCCAATATATTGTCACATTTACGGCAAACTTACGAATCTGCTTTTTTAGTAAAAATCCATAGTAAAAAATGCACATACTGGGAAAAATCACACAATTTTATCAATGACGATTCCGAAAGTCTGATTGTTTGAATCTGCACTTAATGTTTATACACCCAAAGTAAACTTACTAAATTAATATACAATATTTTGGCGTAGTAGGTTTTATGAAATTAAAATTCGTGAGTTTACTATGGAAGTGACGATATTACTTCAATACAACTCTCTAAAATAAATATTAAAATTATGAAGCATCACTTCACATTCAGAAATCATTTTGACTTTCGCTAGTTAGAAAGTACGTTTTCTTATTTGGTAATTCTTTTAATTTGCAAGCATATGAATCACCTACGAGCCGTCTTACTGCGAATGCGAAGTGTTTATTGTAATATATATTTTCTATATTACAACCAAAATCGTTGAAAAAAGGAGATACTTTATGTCGACAGAGTACGGCAAATTTTCATTAATTTGAGATGGTTTGAGTACCGCGTGGTTTTTTTTCTAGTTAAATTTTCATATTTAAATATCTCTCAGTTAAATGCTTTAAAAATAAAGATATATAATGTCAAAACAATGTTATTTTAAACGATAATGGTAAAGCCCTCGGGAGTTTTGCAACCTTACTCAGTGTAGAAACAAAATACTAATAACGCCTGGAACAGATATCTGTGAAGCAATACGGATGTCTTTTGTATTCTGTTCTTCTATTTATTTTTCATTACTATAATCTGTCTAGTTCTGTGAATGATAAAGACAACTACTTTTAATGTGTAACATCTTTCCTCTCGCTTTCCTGCAATTTGTGGGAGTGATTTCGTGAAATGGGAAGGAAGTGTATAACAGGAAGTCGCGAAAGCGCGCGCTATTTGATTTGATTTTAGAACATAATGTTCAAATGGCTTATTCCATTTGTAGTAGGTTTTATTTCTTTTTTTACTAATATAAGGTGGGGTTTCAAATGTTACACATTATATGCGACTACTGTAAGGCTCGCTCGTTCTTTTTTAAAAAGTTTGCTATTTTGGTCTTATTGAAATTTTCACTGTCCAGGTATATTCAGGAAGCGAACGATTCGGGAAGGTGATTTATTTATAATATCTAAAGTTGTGCTAATTACTGTATCTGCACTGAAGTTACACTTTGGTTTTCAGCAACAATGTTGTGTGTTATTTCACATTGATGTTTAAGCACAAAGAACAAGAGTTTTTTATTTTTGCTTGTCTTGTTGGACACCTGTGGTTAATAAATGTGCTAAAAATTATCTTTGAGATACGGCTTTAAATGTAAATCTTTTCTATAGAGTTATTATCAGTTGTATGCGGTTGTAACGACTTTCTAGGGATGTTATGGATATGAAATTTGGAATCTGAATAATATATATTTACAGATCTTGATATCCGTAAGCATATTTTTTTATATAAGTAGGTCTAACAAATGACTCCAACTCACCTGCTGTTAAGTGACTGTGGAGTCGTGACGCGAAAATAGCTGGTACAGCAGTTCTACCTGCCACACTAGCCTTCCTTACCTTGCCGGCCTGCATATTGCTACTTCCATAGAGGTATAAGAATAGAGTGGGGAAGGCGGCTCTAAAAGTGTCCGTCTAGTAGAAAGAAAAAGAAGATGAGAGACCGCTATTTATCTCTCTCTCTCTCATGTGACGCATGGCATCCAATGGCATCACATCGAAATAGTAAGATGCTTACGGTTGTCAATGCGGATGCGCGATTAGAGAGAGAGAGAAAGCTAGCCGTCTCTCATCTTCTTTCTCTTTCTATTAGAGGGACATTTCACTTGTAGTAGAGTCTATATCTCCCCTACTCTATTCTTATACCACTATGGCTACTTCAGGTCTCTTTTAAAGGATCCCGGTTTTATAGGAGGAAGGAAACACTAGCAGGCAAAGCATAGTTTAACGACCTCTGTGGCCGAGTGGTTTGCACGCCCGGGTTCGAATCCCGATGGGGGGCAGATGTTTGTGTGATGAATACGAGCATTTCTACTCCAGTCATAGATGTTTAAAATGTATTTCTATATAAATATACTTATATTTGTATTCTATCCATAACACACGCCTAACAGTGCTTACTTTTGGACTAGGCTATTTGGTGTGAGTGTGGGGAATATTTATAGCATCAAAAGGTTCTCGTTGGTTCCCGAGAAGAAATTAGAATTTACCAAACTTTACTGGGGCATTCTTTCTATTCCATCTACAGGGAAGATTTCAGGTCTGTGCCCCAGCAGCGAGGTTAATATTCTGATTTAAACATTATTTTAATGTTTTTTTTTGTGTGTGGAATTTTTGATTCTAGTAAAAATTTCTTTAGATTTAAACACCTAGCAGTTACATGCTTCAAAATTACTAATATAACAATACAGTACAACGCCAATTATCCGAAGGTCGATTAACCGAATCGCCAATTAACCGAATTGGTCCTAAGCGTAATTTAAAAAATTAAAAACCAAGTTATTGTTTTTGGTTTTGTTGTAACAAGTCGGAACACTCGCTGGAGTCCAGATATATTTCAACTGTTATGGTTGAAAGCTAGAGGCAAGACCCTACCTGTTTTGCGTGGCGCGTTTCTTTTAAGCTACTATGTACCTCTATTATTCTATTTAGTATTGTAGAACTGTGTTAGTTACACTTATAAGGTTTATTCTATGTGTGACAATTAGTTTTTCTTTATTACCAGTCATGTGCGATTATCCGAATCGACCCCGGTCCCAATTAATACTGATAATCTGCTTTCTACTGTATTTTAATTTTATTGTTTGTCTTGTAGGACTACAAGTAGTAGCTGCTTTGCCTCCCGATGTTCAGTTGATACAGGCGTCCGAGAACAAGGAGCCGATGCCCCAACACCAGGTAAATAATGTTTACAGCGTTACACACGTTCATTAATTTTGATTCAAATGAAGCATTCACATAATTGTTATATGTATCTGCTCTAATTTATAATTCTCGTGTCACGGTGTGCGTAATTGAACTACTCCGAAACGGCTCTACCGATTTTCATGAAATTTTATATGCATATTCAGTTGGTATGAGAATCGTAAAAGATGGTCGCTACCCTTACGTACCATTATTTTTTTTCTTTTGGACAAAATTTTTTGTTTATATTTTTATGATACATCATACAAAAATACATACAACCCTAAATTTTCACCCTGCTACCACCAACTAGTCTTGACACCTAGTCTTTATATATTTTCCTTTGACAAAGAAAATAACATTATCAACTTTACTCAAACTGTATAGTTAATGGACGTCTCTAACTGAGAGCGTTAGTCGATTAAGTTTTATCTACTGCACTTATTTTCTAATTGTTCTTGTAGCGAATGATAGTCATTGAAGAATCTTCGTGAAAAGCACCTTATCTATACTAATGTCACAAAATTAAAGTAGCCAGGAGGACGGCTCCTGTCATCCTTGAACATATAGTTATTAATATTTACCGTAATTGATTTCGACAACACGTTTCTGTTAATAAATTCTGCTTGAAACTGCTCCATAAAAATCGCCAGATCAATCAGTCAGGAGCATGGCGGTTAGTAAATACGCATGAATACTAAGCTGGTTCGATTACAGCTCAGCTGCTACTTGGGCAGAGTTGATCCTTGTTCTTGCTAAATAATTTACTTATGTATGTAGTAGTTTATTTCTCAAGCTGTGCTGCCTGCAGCCTAAGAAATTCTAGAAGAAGTTTGACACGGCCCTTAAGGTCGTGGTGGCAGAATTGGCCAGTGCAACCGTCTGGATAACGCAGGGTGCGGGTTCGAGTCCCGTCTGCTTCCTGGACCGTGTGGAATTATTTCTCCAAAAAAATATCTTTATGTTGCAGTGTATCATCACTATAGTAATTAAAATGTTATTACTTGCCTGTCATAATAATTTCGTTATTTGCCAGGTGTTCATAACGCCGAACCAGCAGATAATTATCAACGGCCCCGACGAGCAGAAGGTGTCGAACAACAACAACACCACCAGCGCGGACAACAACAATGGCTCCTTCAGTATCGTCATTAAGGAGGAGTGTGATGACGCTGTGCAAGAGGACGTGAGTAATATCAACATTTTTTTTTTAATGTATAGTAGGTAGGTTAGCACCAACGAGCAGAAGGTGTCGAACAACAACACCACAGAGCGCGGACAACAACAATGAATGCTTCAGCATCAGTGCAAGAGAACGTGAGTATAATATCAACATAACAAAGAAAGAAAGAAAAACCAAAATGTTTTTGTTAGCCCTTAAAAAAGATGTAGTAGGTAGGTAAGCACCGACGAGCAGGTGTCGAACAACAACAACACCACCAGCGCGGACACAACAATGGCGCCTTCAGCATTGTCATTAAAGGAGGAGTGCAAGAGGACGTGAGTATATCAATATAAGAAAGAAAAAGAAAGAAAGGAGTTAGAGTTAAGTTAAGCAACTTTCGCTGTGGTCGGTCATTGCATGGGTGACCAATAATCTTCTAACTCGAGTTCCTCCGTGCTTCGGAAGGCACGCTAAGCTGTTGGTCCCATCTGCATCTGCAGTCCTTAGCACCCACCAATCCGCACTAGGCCCGCGTGGTGGGTCATGGCCCAATCTCCCTATTTCATCCATATAGAAGGCCTGTGCCTAGCAGTGGGGACATTAATAGGCTGATGATGAAGATGATCTTTCATCTTTATGTTCTTTCAAGAAAAATAAACGTTTTTATAAGGTCTTAAAACAGATGTAGTAGGTAGGCACCGATTAGTAGGTGTCTAAAAAAATGGCAACAACTTCAGCATCGTTATTAAGGAGGAGTGCAAGAGGAAGTGAGTAAATCGTCATCGTCAAGCTGTTAAATTCAAATGCGTTTATTCAATTAAGGCTGTTATAAACACTTATTATGCCAAAATGTCGGGAAACTACGCTATCAATTTGCAAATATACAGCAGGGGACAAAACTCAGCAAGGACTGTTTTTTCCTCCATGTATTGTTATTAAATTTCATCACATTCATACCTGTAATTAAATTCATGTATATCTTGAATGATCTCGCACCGAAAGCGCTGAGAGCGCGCAAAGAATTGCGCCATCGAGCGCTTGACTATTTTTTCTATGATGGTGATAGCTTATTCGCCAGAATAACTCTAACAAAACAATCCGTCTCTGAAAAAAAATACGCTTAGCATTGGTCGGTACTCGTTCCTCTCTTCGAAACTTAATTCGATTGCCGTTTCACAGCAAGGTCTTTTTATGTATCTCTCACTCACTCACGTCACTAAATAATGAATGCAAATTTGAAATTAAAAGTATTCCTGTATTCTATGCACAGGAAAGCTCGCAAGGCACTGAGGCGAGCGATTCTTCTACGTGGCAGATGAGCAGCAGCAGTCAGCAGGATCTTATCAAATACCTCAATACACTGCCCCCACAGGTAATAAACAACAAAAATAATTTGAAAACTAACAAAAAAAAATGCAAACATGTATTCATAGGATAGGTATGTTATTACCAAGAAACTTAAACTTCTTATTGTAGTGACATGTTCATGTTCCGCCCGCGACTCTGTCCGCTTCATAATTACTTTTTTGGTACTGCCATAGAACCTGAAAAATTTCCGGGATAATAGTTTCCTGTGTTTTTCAATTCAAGGCAATCCTTCTAATAAAGCTTGTATGGATGTATGTGTGGATGTTTCGAGGCTTTTGAAAACCTTGCGCGGTCAGAAATAACAAAATGAAACCATAAGTTATAGCAATAGCCAAAGCAATCCCAATAGTCGGTAGGTCCCCTGTTCTTCCCCCATCCCCCCAATAATGCCTACAATAAATTTATCACTTCGAAATTTCTTCCTCAGCAAACGCAGCAATTACCCGTCTCACTGCAACAGTTCCTGAGATTGAACCCTGGGGACGTGAAGGTGGAACATATAGAACACATGGACACTGACGCGCAAGATGATGACGGAGAAAAGAAGGACGAACATATCACTGAGGCTGTGCTAGACGAAGGTATATTGAAAATATGTTTAAAATAATTGAAAGTAAAGAATTTGGTTTTGAGTAGAATTATATGCAAGTTTACCCTTCAAGGGAATCTTATCATGGATGGAACTTAATTATACTAACATTACTAACTTAATAATTAACTTCAACTCAACACTGCATAATTCCGTCATGCATAATTTTTGTACAACTTCCACCGTTTGGAATATTTTTTCCCGTTTTGCAACATTTTTCATTGGTGCTCTGCTCATATTAGTCATAGCGTGATACTACAGCCTATAGCCTTCTTCGTTACTCGCTCTATCTAACAAAGAAGAATTTTTCAAATCAACCAGTATTTCATGAGATTAGCGTGTACAACCAAATGAACAAACTCTTCGCTTTATGATGTTTTTTAAGTCATCATATATCTGATATGATGACATTATACGTATTTATTTCACAGACGGCTCCATCGTAATAACTCAAAGCAAGAAAAAGAAGAAATACAAGAAGAAGCCTCCACGACCGGCCAGACCAAAGCCAGGCCAAGTTGTAATCGCTACTGCTTCGGACGGAACTACTGTCTTCTGCTGCCCCGAGTGTCAGATGGCTTACCCAGAGAAGGAGCAGTTGGAAATGCACCTTATCGTACACAAGATAGAGCGGAGATTCATTTGTGGAATATGCGGTGCTGGGTAAGTGATAATTGCGCATGCCTAGAAATATCTTTTCCTAAGGTATTATTGTAGCCTTTTTTCAGTAGCATCAAAAGAGAATGCAAACTTTTTTTTTATTCTACGATTAATAAATTACATTATTTTTATATCAAGACTCTACTACTTTCGAGTTTTACTTCCCCTTTTTGAAGGGATGGATTTGAAACTTGTGGCCTGCCTAACACTTAAATGTATTCTGAGGTTCTGGGTTCGAATCCCGGTAGAGGCAAATATTTGTACTTATTGATGAATATGAACATGTTCTATCTATGCTTAAAGCACCACACTGATGATAATAAATACCTGAAGTTTGTGATTGATATATTAGGTTATATGAAACTCATACGACAGCGGTAGGCAGGCTTCTCCTCTCTCACTCTAACCTGCAGCGCCGCTTAGATTAGTTTAAGTTATCACTTCTGTCGTGCGTCCCGAGACGCTCAAGTTATTTTATAGTATCTTTGAATTATTTTTGGTTAACTCAACGCTTATTTTATTTTAAGAGAATATTTATCAATGAAACACTGTTGGGTTTCGAAAATGGATCCGGCTCGAAGGCCCAAAATGTCAGTGATGAAGATCTTCGGTCCTCGGATCCCTGGTGTGGACTGTATGTAGGTCTCCGGATTTAAAACGCTGGTTGTTGCTTTACTACTTCCTTTATTCTTGTGGCTCGTTGTTCACACGATGATTGTTCCTGGCTGACTACAATTTGCCTTACAAATGTTTCGTCTTATATAATAATAATTTGGCCCCGGCCGTCCGGAGCCCTCGACCAATCACAGCGCCCACTTTGATACGCATACCCCACGTGTCTTTTTTAAAGTGTGCCTTCTGATTGGCGTTTCATCACGTGACCATGGGTGTATACCGAAATATACACCAGTACGCTGGCCAGCGGTAATGACGTCATGAATCGACGCCATGCTGTTGATTTGTTCCAAATACACTGATCAGCGCGGTGACGTCATGAACTGGCGCTATATTCAAGCAGTCTCGTGTTTGTGTGCAACGTTCATGCTCCAAAAAATATAATAAATTTTAACCTACAATTTTAACTGTGATAGCTATTACGACAATATTATAATTATAATTACGTCACAGTATCTCACCATATTCTTATAATATGGCGGCACAGCAGTGCAATATGGCCTCATTACCGCTGGCCAGCGTACTGGTGTATATTTCGGAATACACCCCATTTCTCCGTCGCAAGAAGGGTCTTTAAAGTAGGCCTTGCGATTGGTCGGCACGTTTTTTCTCGGCTCTATGCACGGTGTAGTCAACAAACACCTTATTATAATGACAGATTGAAACGCAAGGAACATTTAGAGCGCCACAAGCTAGGCCACAACCCGGAGCGGCCTTACGTCTGCGGCGTCTGCAGGAAGGGGTTCAAGCGACGCGAGCATCTCAACCTGCACACTGTCATACACTCCGGTGTCAAGACCGAAATGTGCGGCGAGTGCGGCAAGGGTAATTATAGTTAATTATAGTTTAATTTGAGGAGCTGGCGAACAAAACGGTATAATTACATAAAATAAAATTTTACAGGAGCTGTTTAAAGTCGTCGAAAAAGTGACGGAACCATTTTTGTAGAGAATTGTATGATCTACAACTTTTGTCTGACCTATTTTCACGATAAAACTTACAGTTTTCGAGAAAAATTGAAAAAACCTTAATTTTGTATGTTTGACCTTGATTTTTTTTTTGCATAAGTAGGATTGAAGGGGATTTTTGACATTTTATTTATAATGATGTATTTAACGTCTCTGCCAATTTTCAGCTCTATGCGAATTATTCCTCAGTTATGACTTATTTTTGTCTATTTTGACTGGACTATACCCCCAGGGAGCTTTTGGCATGGTTTTTAATTTATAAATTTAGTAATTTTAACACTGTTTTAGGCGGTTTTGATTGAAAATTATTAGAGATTCAAATTCAATAGGCCCGAAACCTCCGGACTGTAAGAAAAATGTAGTTTGACCAGGTGGTCTACTCTCTTTCTCCGAAACAAACTTTTGGTAATGAAGTTCAAACGAATTTTAAACTCGTCAATTTAAGGTCATACTTAATTTGAACGACAAACTATCAAATTGAAGCTTTCTTTGAGATGGCTTAGAAAATCTACACCTCAATCTATATTCCGACAACGAATATTATTATAATTAAATACGAACCAGAAACGTAGCAAGAAAAGTGCGAAGCTTCCATCAAAACTTCGTTTTTCGTTTAATTAGCGTAGGCCTCCAGGTGCGTAATTTCTTTAATTCATACTCTTTTGTTCGCCAGCTCCTGATTTTTGAAGTGAAACTTCTTTGGGCACGCTTGACTTAGGGGGGAGGGGGAGGGGTAAGCTAGCGAATGCGTTACGCGTTACGAAAAGTGTGTTCGGGCGAGGCGAACGGGAGTTGAGTGGGGGATATGAGCAAGAGAAAGCATTTTCTTTCTCTCTTTCTCTTATGGCTATTAAATGAAATATGTACATACATGTATATATTGCACACACACACACATATATGTAAACATGCAGATGGAGTTAAAGAAGTTTCACTTTAGTCGTGTGGTCATAAGCACACTCGTTTTTTATAGTTTAGGCATTTAACTGCTAGATGTTCAAATCTAAAGAAAATTTTACTAGAAGGCTGCAAGGCACTGCCATCTCTTTGTGTTGTAGGCAACCCACAATTCAAAGCTTTTTTAAGCACGAACCATTATCGAATTCGAACTAATAATCCGTACACATTTGACGTATAAAATAGATCGAATTCAAGTATTTGATTCGATAATGGTTCGTGTTAGGGGTTGTAAGTAGTAAATTCGAGGCAACGGTTATTGATGTAACATAAATTATAAAGGAAACGTTTCTGAATAGCTACAATTCATTTGAAATGTAAACTTGGGTTAGTTTCAGTGAAAACAAGAAATTGAATATTTTTGTTTGTTTTTATATTTGTTCATTGATATGATCAGGGGCGTATTTTTACAAAGAGTTTCCTACGGCAGTTAACTGTTAGAGCGTTTTAACTGTGTGAGTCACCATTTTGAGGTACCTATCAATATGTGTTACTTTATGATACACAGTATTACACAGTATTAAACTTTGATCAGGATTCCTGATTAATAACGTCAATAGATAAATAAAATCAGTGCATATTACGTGCATCATCTCATTTTTTAAGCATTTAACGTTTAACATTTAAGCTAGATGTTTAAATCTTAAGAAAAGTGTACTAGAAAAAATCCGTCATAGCCGCGGTAGCATAATGGTCAGTGCATTCACCCGGATAGCGAAGGGAGCGGGTTTGAGCCCGTCTGCTGCCTGGTCCGCGTGGAATTTTTTCTATTACACTTTTCATGTTTTATTTAGTTAGTGTTGTTTAAATATTCAAATTTTCACACAGGTTTCTACCGCAAAGACCACTTGCGTAAACACACGCGGTCTCACGAGAGCAAGCGGGCGCGGGACGAAGCCAACGGCGACTTCGTTGTGAAGCCCGCAGCTTCCGCTGCCGCTACCTCCACCAACACTATCTTGCCAGAGATCACAATACACGTGAGTACTGTAGTACTTTTAGTACGAGTTTTACAATTACCAAAACTATGATAGTTGTCGTGAGCTCGCACTCATACTAAGGCTACTGATTTTATTGTTTTCGTTTCAATACAAATAAACAGTGTTTAAATTCTATCATTAAATCATTTGCGTCTTCTGAAATTTCAAGTATATTTGGTTACTTTTTACCAAAATGGACATAGAAACATAATTTACAATTACGAATACTATGATAGTTTTCGTGAGCTCAAAATCGTACTAAGGGTAGAGCTGTGATAACATAACACTGAGAAATGAGTTTGGAGACCACATCTTGAAATGACTGCCTGTGTAATATTACCATGTCTCGTTTTGACCACTTCTGCTTAAGACTATCTAGTAATTTAACTGTTTATGGATTCGACCACTTCCTTTTCGGTCTACTATCAGTATTGTGCAAAATGAAATAAAAATGTGTTGAAAAGAAAAGATTTTTATAAGAATCAATGATATTATGTTACTGTACCCTAAGCACGAACCAATGTCGAATTCGAATAGTTTGCGGGTCCGAAATTTCGTTGTCTAATATGTATTGATTTTTATTTCTCGTTACGTACTTTGCGACGCTGCTATTCAAGTTTCCATACAAAATTTGACATTGACATTTCGCACTCGCAAACTATTCAAATTCGATAATGGTTCGTGCTAGGGGTACGGATGTGATGATGATGCTGTTGAGGTATGCTTCGTTAACACGACGACATTAGAAAAAGTTGCGTATTTTTGGACACTGTAATAAAGTAGTCAAATAAGGAAGTGGTCAAAATCAGAAACCGTCCATACTTTTATGCAACTGTTGTATAATAGGGGGTATTTAAACACGAATGTGGTATATCACATGAGTGTTTTAATACCTAATTATGAACAGTCCATATAAGACTATCTACACTCATGAGATGATTTTTCTATAAAAGATTCTGAAACCATTAAATTTTTCAGTTCTAAGAACTTAAAAATTCATATACCATGCATCGTGCTTCGGAAGGCACGTTAAGCCGTTGGTCCCGGCTGCATCTGCAGTCGTTAGCACCCACCAACCCGCACTGGGCCCGCGTGGTGGGTCATGACCCAATCTCCCTAATCCATCCATAGGGAAGGCCTGTGCCCCAGCAATGGGGACATTCATAGGCTGATGATGATGATGATGATATCATGCATTCAACAGTGAAAATTGTGGCTGTCTCATAAGTAAGCCCTTGGCGCAGGAGGGATTTTAAAAGCAAAAGAAATCTTTTATGAATTTAGTATGGGTGTTATATATTTTTTTTGTTTTTATTATGACATTGGATGTTTTAATGGTGCTGTTTCAGAATCTTTCATAGAATTTGATTTTGTGTGCTTTCTGTATAATTCATATAAATAAACAAATGAACTTCTTCTAGTCTTATCTTCACAAGCAAACAAAACTTATCACAACCAAAGTCGAATTCACATTAATATAATTATTGCACAGGTGCCGACAAGTTCGAACACGCAAGTGCCTGTACAGATCAACATCCCCCACCATGTGGTCTCTTCGATAGCGGCTGCTGAGCTTGCTAGACAACAACAGGAAGACACACAGAGCCAACTAGATGCTTTGTTAGCACAACACACGTGACGTCACCACAGAACACGTTTACAAGGACTGTGAAGTGCTATTGTAGTCTAGTGATTGCGAAGTGTAATTATGGATTCGATACAGTGCTATAAACAATGAATTGGAAGAAGGATGAAAAAGTAAAAATTTTATAAGTTAAGAGTGCTTCAAGAACTAAATTTGAACAGAACAGAAAGAGAAAGTTGAATAAAACATGTTCTGCAGGACTAAGATCAAGAGATGCAGTGAATGCAAGCAATTGAATATGTTGCGATGGTGACTTTCGTTGTTGTCCAATGATATGATCACCTTATGTGTTCAACTTAAAAATCAATGCATATATATTAATCGCTGTACCTATTAATTGTAATTCTAAAACAGTGTGCTTACAATATAAAGCGACCAAATTTTTCATTAAACTGTTACTATGTTTAGAGACACTCAATCTTTAACACTCTTCCAATTCCAAAAGCTATATGGTAATAGATGTGTATATTGTTAGGTGAAAAGTAAGGACTGTCTTTTTGTATTATTAATAAAGACTAGGTCACTTTCTATTGTAAGCACAGCAGTAAAAAAGCGACCTACTTTTTATTAAACTGTTACTGTCTCTAGGCATACTCCATCTTTAACACTTCCAACTCCAAAAGCTATATGGTAATAGATGTGTATATTGTTAGGTGAATGGCAAGGAACCACTGTTTTTTGTATGTTTAACTTGGCGCTAAATAACATGTATTGTGCATTATCTGCTGCAGGGCAGTTTAAGTGATGACACTTTCCCACTAAGGGGAAAATACTATGAGTTCGAACACATGACTTTATTGTTTAATACTCAAGTCTCTTTGTATGCTATAATAATTGTTTGAAAATTAACATGATAAAGAATTATTTAGGAATTTATTAAAGTAATTTTTCTCATTTAAGATAAAGTTGCCAGCATGGTGGGTTTCACCTAGGCTCTCTCTATGTCAAGTGACACTTTGGATAAACTTTGATAGCCGTTCTCAATAACCTATTTTAAAATGTGAGCTAGGATATCTAGTACAGATGTACTAGATAAATTTAGCCCTTATCAGGTCAGTAGTCTAAATTGATTAGGTTATTGACTATTGTTATCCATTTTCATTATTTTTAACCTTAGCTTTGATAGTTGCAGTGCCTTTCTGTACAGATACCATGATGTATTATTTGAAAGCGCAAATTGTTAATCTCTGAAAACTAAATAATTGTTGTATATACTTATTCGTACTTTGTTATTATTGTGTATTAATTGTGTAGCTATACAATTTTATAATCAGGCAGGCTTAACTTTTACATAAAATTTTCATAGTTGGAAGTAATGGAATCCTGAATAAATCACTGAAATGATAAAAAGAAATCATTGTTAATCCATTTTAATGGTTACACAAAATATCATCTCACACTGTGATAATTATACCATTTACAATTGTGATGGATATCTGATTGCTGTTGCTTTGTGATGTAGTTGTATGCTTTATAAACAGATGTTTCAGTTTTGTATTATAATAACTTTGCTATTTTTATCAATATTTTGTGAACTGATGGTTCTTATTGTGGAGTTGGTAAATTAATTTAAATGAGACATAATTTATAATGAATGGTGATGCAAGAGCTTTTTAAAAATATTGTTCATAATATGAAAATATGTCTTTATGTCCCTAAATTGAGGGGTTTAATATAGTAACCGTTCTTATTGCACAAATGAGAAGAGCTAATGCATAAACACTTTATATTCTGTTTAAATTGATTTTTATGCACAGTCATAGCATGGGCCAATAATATAGGTATGGATAAATTTCTGGTTGCTACGAATTCATTGATAAGCCGTTAAAGCTCTTACTAGATTTTGGATTGAAAAAATAACATTTGTTTAGGAAAATGGCTCAGTTGAAATGACATTGAACTTCATTCAAGTTAAATTGAGATTTACTCAAAATCAATAACTTAACATTTTACTATCACCAATTCTGTACCCTTAGCACAAACCAATATCGAATTCGAATAGTTTGCGAGTGCGAAATGTCAATCTCACATTTTGTATGGAAACTCGAGCAGCGGCGCCGGCGCCACTACGGACATTACGAGAACTAAAACTCAGTACACATTTGACAATTATATTTCCCACTCGCAAACTTTTCGAATTCGATATTGGTTTCTGCTAATGGTACTGTACCTAAAACGGGAAGTTTGGCAGATCTGTATTCGTATCGCTAACGTCAAAGTTTCTATGAGAACAAAGTAGCGCCCTAAGCGGACGTAAGAAGGAAGACGTAACAAACAAGCTTTTTCCATAGAAATTGAAATAATGATACGAATACATTTTCGCTAGTGTGTTCGTGTTTGGGGTACAGGATATTTTTTAGTAAGAACAATGTTGAATGGTAGGAATCTCTAATCCATTACATCTATCAACTATACTATAAGATCAGTTCCTCTTTGCACAAAATATCAACTTATTACTGAAAAATATTGCACCCTAAAAGATCAACTTAACATGTTTCCAAAAAATAAATTTGAAATATTTGTTTAAAATAATGTGTCTTTGAATTCTTAACTTCTAAATTTTCATTCATTTTTGCCATAGGTTAACGTTTGTGAATGCATATCTTGAAGTGGTGTTTCCATATTTAATTAAATATATTTGTATCATACTACATTTCGATATCATTAAGAGTATTTTAGAATCTAAGGCTACTTCCATCACAATAAGTTATTTTTTGTCAGCTTTAATGTAGGTGTAATTTTGATTCGAATTTTATCAATGTACTTAGTTTTAGTTCACGTAGCTGCATGCATAAAATATATCACTAATAATCTATACGCACTAACCGGTCAAGTAAAATGATACGTAAAAAAACATGAAATATATACTTTATTTTTTAATGGTCTCTATATGTTGTATGTGTTATCTCTTATTTCGTTATATATCTGATCAGCTTGCATTAACTTCTACTGTTTAAAATTTTATAATATCAAATTCCTGTAAACAAATACCAATCAGATTCTGTTTACATATTTCTTCTATCTATTTCATGATTTTGTACAAACTTAAGATTTTAGTAGTACTACTAACAAATGGTTAGCTATTACATTTCTTTTTCATTATTATGATGTGAGAGCAGAGTCGAAGTCAACAGGGCTGTGCCTGTAGCATATTAATCCTAAAATTATCGAGAATTTGATTAATCAATAATACATTTGCTTAACTAACTGAACTGAGATTTTTTAGTCATTTAACTTTTGATAAATAATACTTTTTAAACACTACTACAAGGCATATCAAAATTTATTACCCGACACCAATGGAACGAAGGTGCTTTATTATTATTATAATTATTATTTCCTCACTATGGAATTAGTCTGTAAATTTATTCTAAGGCAAATTTAGATAATGTTTGTAAGTAAACCACAATATCGCATAGTTAACGCATAAACAGCCACATTCAGAAAAGTCAATGAACTTTAATTTTGACTTAAGATTATGCTGTCACTTTCGTTGGTATAACAATAGAATGAGACAACATATGACTTGATGTAACATTAATTTGTCGTTTCTAAGTATGGTTGTGGGTACCGTATAAAGAACAGGTAGTTTCATACTAATGACTGACAAAATTGAATACTTCTAAGTCACATTCTTCATCACAATAACATTTAGTTTTATTTTCAGTATTCTTCCACAGATGTAGCTAAACCTTATGGTATAATTAATACGTTAAAATGCCTCATCATCATCATTAACATCACTAATAACTCGTGAAGATGAATGAATGAATAACCTTGTTTACTCAAAGTGTAAAAATACATAATATTATTTAAAACCCCTTTGTATATTCTGATAGACTATTTATTTATTAATGTTTAGCTCCTAACTGATTAGCGTATATTTTTTTACTTCGTTGTTTATTTAGTGAAGTAAGCCAAAATGCGGCGAGTATTATAAAGTAAGACATAATAAATTAGACAAGTTAGCTTTCCTTGGAAGTTGTACCGGAAGTTTTGTGTATGAAGCCTTTTATTTTTAAGAGGACACCTTACAGTTCAGAACAGAAATAATGAGATCAAATAAAAACACTGATTTTTAGTAAGTTGTTTATTATTTTAATCCACTCCTCCAACCTTGACTTTATAATAACAGATATTGTATTTTTATGAAATAAACTATGACGAAGAAATAAAAATTAATTGTTAATTACGTTTTTTACCCTTAAGATAATAACACTTTATTGCACAACAGTAACATAAAGAACACGAATAAAATACAAAACAAGGCAAAACAATTACAATTGCACAAACGGCGGTCTTATCGCTAATCAGCGATTTCTTCCAGACAATTCAAGCTGAAAAAAAAATAGAAAGCACTATAATAATAATGAGGGTGGTTGTGCGGAATACAAGACAAAAGCATTGTAAGTAGTAAGTTGAAAATAAACGCAAACTAAACATATAGGCATACACAAACATTCACACATTTCACAATATAATGCAACAGCTGGTATTTCTAACGTAGCAATATTTTTAATGAAAATGACGCTCATCTGACAAGAAGTGCCCCTTAACTAGGGATTTGAAACAGGCCAGAGTTTGGCCACGCCTAATCTTTTCCGGCAGATAATTACATACTTGGATGGCACGTATGGTAAAGGAGTGGCTATATGCTTTCGAAAAGTTAGGAGGTGTGAAAATCAGGAGATAATCAGATGAACGAAGCGGAAGATTATGAGAAGAAGAAAGAAACTGAAAACGTTCTTTGAAATAGACAGGAGCCTTTGAATTGAACAATACTGAGAAGAGTAGGGATAATATATGCAGATCACGACGACGACAAATGGGAAGCGACTTCCAATTTCTGCCTGTAGTAAGAAACATGGTCGTACTTACGTAAACCGTAAATTAATCTGATGGAAAAAAATTGCGGACGTTCAAGTTTACTTAGAAGTTCATAGGTAAGATAGGGATACCAAACATCTGCATAATCGAGAATAGGTAGAAGAAGAGAAGTTTCAAGAGAAATTTTGGTGGCAGTGGGCAAGAAATTACTTACGTAAACGTCGTAAAGAACCGGCCGCAGCAAAAGTTCCCCTACTGACCTCGGCAACCTGAGGACACCAAGATAAAGTATTATCAAATATGACCCCCAAATTTGGAACTGTTTCAGAAAATGGAATAACAGTTCCATTTAAAATAACTGATGGGAGCTGCTTAAAGTCAATCCGAGATATAAAGTAAGGGCACGGTAATGTAAGGGCTACCAATAATTATGCACTGCGTTTTTGTTGGATTGATTTTGAGTCCAAATGCATTGCTCCATTCTGTTATAAGTGCCTAGTCTGCAATTAGGTCTTCTAGGCAGGTGTGTGCCATCCTAGGCCTCATCATCGCTTTCCATCAGGCGAGGTTGTGGTCAAACGCCTTACCTATTAAGCACAAAAAAATGCATTATTTAAGTTTTCCAGTCGATCCTGTGTGTAAATCTGGGGATCATCTGCAAACAAATGGCAAGTAGAAATTAACTTGAGGGTAATAGAGTTAATGAAAATAGCGAAAAGCAAAGGAGATAGCAGGCCACCTCGAGAAACACCGGCCGTTAGAGTACACCATTGAGAGACGGATTCACCTACAATTACACGCTGCCGGCGTCCATGTGGATAACTACGAAACCAGTCAATGAGAACGCAGTAAACTCAACAGGATTTCGAAGTCAACATTGTTAAATGCATTCCTAAAATCTAATAAAGTTAAAGTTGTGAGTTACTGACTCTCCATGCCAAAGCGAACGTCATCGGTAATTTTGACAAATGCACTAGCTGTGCTATGGCCAGGACGAAAACCAGATTTTAAAGGTTTTAGCACGTTATTCATTTGAAGGAATTGATTCAGTTGATTGTGTATAAGACGCTCAAGAACTTTGGAACCCTTGTTTGTGGGTGATACAATCAAATAATTGATATTTTTTTTATATGTAGATATAAAAGTAAACTCACTTTAGAAAAGTTTTACTAAAAAAAATCCACGCGGACCAGGCAGCGGATGGGACTCGAACCCGCACCCTTCGCAATCCGGGCGAATGCACTGACCAATTATGCTACCACGGCCCTGAAGGCCGCGTCGAAATTCCTCTAGCCATTCTTAAGCTGCATACTGCAAGGCAGCGCCATCTCTTCGCATTGTAGGTAACCCACAATGTCAAATGAATACTTTTTCAAGTAGGTATTAAACATTTGAAAGAAGATATAGCAATTATAGTTATAAAAATCTGAACATCTAGCAGTTAAATGCTTAAAAAAAATAAAAACATAAACTCACTTTATTAAAAGTTCTGAACTAAATGACAACGAACTACGATTAGTATAATAAATTTTAAGAGTAACTTCGATAAAGTTATCTGTTTTAGTAATTTCAAAATGTATAGTATGTAATGATAACAAGGTTTTTATATTGGCGGTAAGTATTCAACTAGTTGCCCACTTATATGCAAATAGGGCATGAATATGTAAGTAATTCTCGACAAAAGCATAAGATTTTATTATAATTATAAATAGAAAATCTTCACCCGAATAATTAAGTCTTTAATAAACTAAACATTCACGCCCTACTATTAACACGTAACCAGGCGAAAAAACTTGTTTTGTTTTTCTAAACTTCGTAGTCAATTGTCTTAACGAAGTTTCTTATCATACTAAAGAATAGGTGGGAGCGCTTCTTAGGGGGATCGTTGGGTGCCACCCCCTGACCGAGGGCGGTACGCATGCGCCCGCCCCGCGCACCCTGACCGCGCAACCCGCCATACATGGTCTATCGTATTTCACCTGCGACACGCTAATAAAACGCGATGAAAACTCGTCTCATCGCCTGATAACAGGTAAGGAACAGTTTCCATAACGTATCTCGAGCTCCGCGTACTTCCTAGTGCTCGCAATATGGTTTTTCGCGACGATGGTGTGAGAGCGCGGGCCGGTAAAAATAGAGACACAGAAATGCGTTGGGGTGAGGCAGAATGGCGGGGGTTGAGTTAGCCCCTGCGAGGCGCCCTCGAACCACTTTGTTGTGGTCCGTTCGCCGCATACCTGCTGTGATACGGTGGCTGCATTCTCCCTCCTTCCACATTTGGACCCCTTCTCTTAGCGTCTTCGCCATACCACAAAGTGCGCTCGGAAACAATAGACCGCATCAACAGTAGGTATCGATAGTAAAACGAGCCGTCATTAAATCAAGTCAATCCCTTTCAAGCATATCCTAAAAGTGTTCCCATGGTTGTTTTAAAGAATATCGCACCATCTGTTGCGTAGTTTTTTGGGTTAACTCCCTTTTATTTTATCTAAGACAAAGTTGTGACTTCTACCCTTGAATTTTGTATTACCAACTCGTGAAAATTTTTAAAAGTTTTACGCTGACCAAATAATATTTGAAGATTTAATAAACTAGCAAAATTGGGAAACATAGTACAAATACTCTGTAACCATAAACATATGTCTCATCAAGGAATTTCCAAACACAACAGTCCTGAGCTTTCCGCATCCAGTGGGTCCCAATATATTAATAAAAAAAACATTTAAATTCTGGCTATATTCACTAGACATGTCCAATTGGATCATAACAGTAAGTAAATTATAGGCGCTTTTACGACAGTCCGCCGCTATATGCAGGATTGTGAATGTTGTCACAGCCTGCATGGCGTGCGGTAACACCTTAACGGACTGCAATGCTGGATTGTGAACGGGCCCCTTCAGCGAAATGAAACAACTGCCCGAACAAAATTCACAGACCGGCGAAGAAACTAAAAAACCGATTTTTGTTTTCAGTGAATTTCGCTTTCAAACATGAATTTCGCTCCTTTCACGGGGCACATTCCGACGGCGGCGTCCATCCCGACTATCCACCAGTTCGCCGCGAAGTTCGGCTACGAGGGCAATGGTGGCGGGTCGAGTGTGGTGCAGGAGACTCGGTACCAAGGCGGCGGGGTGCAGTTCGCGGTGCCGGCCGGCGGGTCGGTCACCGTGGATGGGGTCAAATTCCGCCAGGCTGAGAGTGTAGTGGTGGTCAGTAGCGCCCAACCGGGCGTTACCCTAACTGGCATAGCACCTATACACACAGGTTAGCTAATAAATAAGAAATAAATATTATATACACTCGCACCAATAAGCGTAGCTTCAAAGTAAATAGGTACCGGCCGGTGGGTCGGTCACAGTAGATGGGGTCAAATTCCGCCAGGCTAAGAGTGTAGTGGTGGTCAGTAGCGCCCAACCGGGCGTTACGCTAACTGGCATAGCACCTATACACACAGGTTAGCTAATAAATAAGAAATAAATATTATATACACTCGCACCAATAAGCCTAGCTTCAAAGTAAATAGGTACCGGCCGGTGGGTCGGTCACAGTAGATGGGGTCAAATTCCGCCAGGCTGAGAGCGTAATTGTGGTCAGTAGCGCTTAACCGAGCGTTGCGCTTACTGGCATAGCACCTATACACTCAGGTTAGTTAATAAAAAAGGGAATTGATATTCCATACACTCACACCAATAAGTCTAGCTTTAAAATAAATAGGTACCGGGCAGCGGGTCGGTCACCGTAGATGGTGTCAAATTCCGCCAGGCTGAGAGTGTAGTGGTGATCAGCAGCGCTTAACCGCGAGCGTTGCGCTTGCTGGCATAGCACCTATACACACAGGTTATTGTAGTATCTACCTATAAATAAAAGCTTTGTAGTAGATCCATGCTGTAAGTAATATATGAGGTAGGAGTTTGGATATTAGAAGTAGACTTACTACCTGTTGCTAACTGACAGGGTAGTAAGATAATTTTGGAAACAATTGTGAGTAATGAGTTGGTAACTTTAGAGTCATTATAATATTGTTACGTGTTCGGATGGGGGTCGAAATTATATGCCATAAAACCCTTTTAATGAGTGCAAAGATACCAGGGCCATAGCTATGTCACATCGTTGCAACGAATTATCACTAATTTCATCATTTCAAACATATCTAATTCGATGCATCGTTGCCATAAAGTAGCGAAAGCACTTAAATCACTGCAAAAATTGATTCGCAAATAGTTTTTACGGTTAAAGCAGTAAGATTTTTTGGCAGTGAACACCGGAGTGAAGTATCAAACGATATCGTCTTCTTCTGTGAACCTCGGGAACATCGCATATGGTGGCGGTCAGACGAGCTACGTACAAGAAACTGTGCAGCAACTGAAGGCAGAACAGAGAGACAAACGCGAGTACAGAGAGGAATTACATCACGACTTGATGGCCACCATGATGCAACAGCAAGGTGAGACAATCTGACACTTAACATTTTGTATTATGTACAATGTCTATTCTGATTTCGACACACTTTTTGCAATTGTTTGTTGTTCATACTGTTTTAAACTGGTTGTCTAAAGATCAGGGGCGTATTTTAAAATTCGGCGCCCCGGGCCATCAAACTATAGGTTAATACCGAATGCCTTTATATGACTTCTGCCCTCAGAACTCTTGACCCTAGGGTGAATACGTCCCTGCAAAAGATAAGGAAGAAATATATTTTTTAAATAAATGACGTTAAAATTCACATCACCATCAGCCTATTAATGTCCCCACTGCGGAGGCACAGGCATTCCCTATGGATGGAATAGGGAGATTGGGCCATGACCCGCGAAAACCGCATATTGAGCAGGAATAAGTCTTTTTTATTACGTTTTAATCTTTAATCAGTGACGCAAGCGGCTCCGCTGCAGCAGGGCACGCAGCAGCTGCTGGTAGTTCTTCACGAACCAAAGGAAGCAGCCGCGCTCGCCCGCGCCATCAAGCAGGAGGGCCGCGCCGACCGCACTGCCTTGCCCGCGCCCGCTGAGTTCATCAGTAAGTGACCACGAGTGATGTATGTATATTGTAAGCAGTGACACGTAGCAGCTCAACCAGCAAGCAGGAGGGCCGCCCCAACCGCGCTGCCTTGCCCGCGCCCGCTGAATTCATCAGTAAGTGACCACGGGTCATGTGCGTATATTGTGAGCAGTGACATGCAGCAGCTGAGCTATTAAGAAGGAGGGCCGCCCCGACCGCGCTCGCTGAGTTCATTAGTAAGTAACCACGAGAGATGTAAGTATATTGTAAGCAGTGACGCGCAGCATCTGAGCCATTAAGCAGGAGGGCCGCCCCGACCGCGCTGCTTTGCCCGCTGAATTCATCAGTATGTTTAGGAACCAGGAGAGATTTAGTACCTACCTTATTTTCGTCCTAGAAATTTTAACATATCATATATACTTACCAGAAAAATAACCTTAAGAAAATTTTACTACAATGAATTCCACTCGGTCCGGGCACCAAACAGGATCCGAATTTGCACCTTCCGCTATCCGGACGAACGCACCAACCATTTATGCTACCGAGACCTTAAATAGTCATGTCGGCATCGGCGTAGCATGTGTGTCAGCCACCCGGGACGAAGGACAATTTTGCCGCCCTCTTATTTGAATGCTTGAAATATTTTTATTATTAATTGTAAGTTTTGCCGCCCCCTAAGAAGTGCCGTCCGGGGCGGGCCGCCCCTGCCACCCCCACTACGCTACGCCACTACATATCGGATTTCTTTCATTACTTATTTCTTAGGATGCAAGACAATCTAGTACTTTAATGTTTAAAATAACAATAATAAAATTAAGACCCTATACACTATGTATTAAAGGTGAGTTTCAATGTTAAAATAATGCCTTATATCGTTTTTGACTACGCGATCATCTTACGGAGCTCCGTATAATGTACCTTTAGTACAGGTTTCGGTCGCAATTTTAGTCGTGTTGTTCTTGGGTATTAAATATCGTTATTATCTAATATATAAAATTCTCGTGTCACGGTGTGCGTAATTGAATTACTCCGAAACGGCTGGACCGATTATCGTGAAATTTTAATATCATGCAACTCTAAACTTCTTTCATTTCCACTCTTCTACCACCAACCCCTATTTTTTATGGTGGTACTACGTTCGCTGAGACAGCTAGTAAACCTATAACCTTGTTGGATAGGTATCGGCGACGTAACCGACACAGCAACGTGGCAGTCGCTAGGCGGCGGCGTGGCTGACTACCTGTCCGCTCTGCCACTACCTCTGCACCACCTGCTCAAATACTCCACGGACGGGAAACGAGACGATCAACCCACCATAGTGACAGTCACCAACGCACTGCCGGCTATGCCCAATATAGCCACGGTAAGACATTTTTAACCGACTTCAAAAAAGGAGGAGGTCCTGTGTCCGACTGTATATTTTTGATGTGTTTTGATAACGTGAAGTGGAACGGAAGTGTGTAACAGGAAGTTTGGGAAGCGCGCGCTATTTGATTTGATTTTAGAACATAATGTTCAAATTTCCTTTTTCCTTTTGTAGTAAATTTTATTGCTTTTTTTACTAATATAAGATGAGGTTTCAAGTTTTCATCACATCATACGCGACTACTGCAATTCTTACCTTTAGCCATAGAAACCATTAGAAAATAGACTACCATCAGGATCTGCTGAACCGATTTTGAGAATTCTTGAACTAATACGAGTAGAAAGCCACTTTATTTGTGAGTGTTGAGTGTCAGAGTCATAGACTTAATATTAAAACAAAGACCAGAGTCTACACCAAAGCAAAGCGAGGGTGGGTCACTCATAGAGGTAAAAGAATAGAGTGGGGAAGGCGGCTCTAAAAGTGTCCGTTTAGTAGAAAGAGATAGAGGATGAGAGGCCGCTAGCTATCTCTCTTTCTTGTGACGCATGGCATCCAATGGCATCACATCGAAATAGTAAGATGCTTACGGCTGAAAATGCGCATACGCGATTAGAGAGAGAAAGCTAGCGGTCTCTCATATAAAGAATATCTCTTTCTATTAGCGGGACACTTCCACTTGTAGTAGAGTCTATATCTCCCCTACTCTATTCTTAATCCTCTATTGGGCCACTAGTAAAAATATATATTGTAATTCTTCACGTGACACCTAATTATTACATTTACAGCAATTACCAAACAATGCGATGAACAGCGTGGTGGTTCAGACGGCGACCATAGTGAACCAGACGGTGAACACAAACACCCAGACGCAGACTGTCACTGTCGCGACACCTAAGAAGAAGAAAAAGAAGAAAAACGCCAAAGAAAAGAAACCCCGCCCAAAACCGGGCGAGATTCGACTCACTACTGCGTTAGGTGAGACACTTAATTTTTGTTTGATCGTTTGTACCTCATTACAAAACATTACACTTAAATATAAGACAATATTCTCTTTAGTTAACAAATAATTCTATAACGTTTGTGAAAAGGCTGCCTTTTGCCTGCAATACCTCCTGTATATGTATTTATTGACATATTTATTCAAATATCAAATGAGGAGCTGGCGAACAAAATGGTATAATTACATAAAATTAAATTTTACACGAGCCATATAAAACTGAATGACATACCTACAGTGAGCTTTTGACATGGTTTTTAATTTATAAATTCAGTAGTTTTAACACTGTTTTAGACGGTTTTGCTTGAAAATTATTTAAGATTTAAATTCAACGGACCTGAAACCTTCCGTCTGTAAAAAAAGAGGGTAGTTTGAAACTGTTTTGTTCGCCAGCTCCTCAAATATATCACCTATTTCAAGACAGGTATAGCATAGAGGTTTTTCCGCTTAAATTGGAGTACCAGTCTTTAATAGAAGTGACCGCAATCTTACAGAAGACCAAAGTGTAATAAAACTACATCTTAATATTGGTGTCAATTCTAGCGTGATTCCTAAACTTAAAACAAAATTTAACATCAGTCTCTCCTTTTCATTCTGTATAGAGAATGACAAGGATACACTGTTGTCAAATTTAAGTTTAGATTTAGAGAAACGTGCCAAAATCGACACCAATGTATTATTAAAATGTGTTATTTTTGGATCCACGCAGTGTTGCCAGGTCCGGTTTTTAAAAATCGGGTGGCGTAATAGAAAAAAATACAGTAGATGTATGGAAAGAGCTACAAGAAAAACAGTAGATGCAGATGCTTACCCCCCCCCCCTCCTCCCCTAGAATTGGTAAATCAAATCAAGACAACTAAGGAATGTGTTTTTGTGGCTTCTAACGCCCCTCAAAGCTAGTTTTTTTTTGTAGACGATAACATTTTTATAATTATTGAGGTTACCTACATTATTAATGGTGGATAATACAACTCAACATGCAATTTAAAAACAGGAAATCGTATTCTAAGAAAAACAGGAGATTCATGTAGAAAAACAGTAGAACAGGAGAAATTACAGACAAACAAGAGGTCTCGTGTAAAATCTGGAGACCTGGCAACACTGGATCCACGATACATTACGAAGCACGCATCTTAACAGTATGTACATATTAAATAAAATAAGTTTCAACGGTATAGATGCATTGATTTTATTTATTTTGTTACAAAGTCAATAAATAAATAAAATCAGTGCAACTATACCGTTGAAACTTGTTACATTTAATGAGTAGTGTGCGTCAAAACCTAAGAAACAAATATGTTATTATAGTAATATAAGTTATTTACGGGATTGTTACCATGTACATTGTTTGTAGTGAGGTTCCGATATTTCGACACTGTTGCAAGCGCCATGATCACGTAGTAACATGATCGCTAAAAACAAGGTACATGGTAACAATCCCGTAAATAACTCGAAAGTTTGAAACAATAAATATGTTATTGTTAATTTATTCGTTTTTTTAGATGGCAGCACACTATACTGCTGTCCGGAATGTCACATGGCGTATCCAGAACGTGGTCTATTAGAACAACACTTAGTTGGACACACTATGGAGAGAAGGTAACAGTCATACAAATGTACGACTCGAAGGACGAATTTGATTTTAGTTCATGACTTTATTTTATAGTAAACTAGCAGCCGTCCGCGACTTCGTTCGCGTGGAGTTAGTTATTTGCACATACTTTTTCACCACTGTTCACTGCTCGTGCCCCGTAGGTGATAGCGTGATAATATGTAGCCTATATGTTGACCGACTTCTTAATAATACTCGTGCTAAATTAGAAGAAAATCCATGCAGTACTTTTTGAGTTTATCCCGGACATACATACATACATACAAACAGACAAAAATTCTAAAAACTATAGTTTTGGCTTCAGTATCGATTGTAGATGACACCCCAAGTATTCTTTAAAAAAAATAATCAATGTACAGTTTTGACTTTCCTACCATTCTATTATATGTATAGATAGAGCAAACCACTAGGAACAAGGTTCATGTGCCACATCTGTAATGCGGCCTTAAAGAGTACCACCTGACGCAGCACAAGCATCCCCACAGCCCCAAGCTTATGTTTTAACTGAATAAAAGCGATTTTATAATCCTTAGTATACGGCTCGAAGGACCATTTTTATGACAAGAATTTCTTATACAAAAAGTGTCCTCATAAAATTAATTCTATGTCTATATCCACTAGGTTCATATGCGACATCTGCAACGCCGCCTTAAAGCGTAAAGACCACCTGACTCGGCACAAGCAGTCCCACAACCCAGAGCGGCCGCACGTGTGTTCCGTCTGCTTGAAAGCTTTCAAGAGGAAGGAACAATTGACACTACACTTCGTCATACACTCCGGCGAGAAACGGCACATCTGCAACGAGTGCGGCAAAGGTGAGAATGTGTTTTGTTTCCGTTTATTAAAGAGTTCTTGAAATGAAATGAAATTTATTTATTCACGCAAAACAGAATATATACTTTTTGGTGGTGATTTTCATTTAGTTCGTCCATTTTGCCAACGACAGGGCATGTGAATGTCAAACTTAATTTAATTCTTAAAGGACAATGGGCAAAACGTACCCAGCTCCGCCAACAATGTAATTAGTATGAATCGATAGATCTATGAAAAACTAGCCTTTTTTATTATGGCACCAAAAAAAAAATAACCTGGGGGTCAAAAGATATACACCTGGGTATGTTCTATATTAGGGGTTAAGGTTTCCGCACATAGTCCTTATAGACGACCTTTGTGTGTAAGTCATGGGGACCGGTTACACACGGGCATATTTAAATAGCTCCTTATAGAGAAGCTCGATGGCGCAGATGGTTAGCGCGTTCGGTTGCGATCGTTGAAGTTAAGCAACTTCCGCAGTGGTCGGTTATTGGATGGGTGACCAAAAACATCCATCTCGAGTTCCTCCGTGCTTCGGAAGGCACGTTAAGCCGTTGGTCCCGGCTGCATCTGCAGTCGTTAGCACCCGCCAATCCGCACTGGGCCCGCGTGGTGGGTCATGGCCCAATCTCCCTATTTCATCCATAGGGAAGGCCTGTGCCCCAGCAGTGGGGACATTAATAGGCTGATGATGATGATATTTAAATAGCTAAAGAAATTCATTCAATATCAATAGTACTTTCGTTTTATAATATTAGCAATAATAAGTGAGTGAATCATATCTTACTGTACAACCAGATAAAAAATACTAAACAACAAAGCCTACCGACTATCCTGCTTGCTTGCTGCTTGCACTTACTGAGACTCCTCAAAACGTCTAACAGGGTATGGGTTTGCCGTTGCAACTAGTCTACTCGTATGCAGTCCTATGTCTTACATTTTGAGCGCTCCCTGTTATTTCATTGATATTTAATTAACACGCTTTAGAAATAGGAACACGATTATCATCGCGTACGTCATTATAATCGTACGAGCTAATAAAAAATCTATGGATCAATTTAAATGCTCGTACTCAGCACACAAACATCTGCCCCCACCAGGATTCGAACCCGGGACCTCTCGAGCCAGCGACACCATGAAACCCGGCGTACAAACCACTCGACTCGGATATATTAATTGACGACCTCCGTGGTCGTCAATTAATATATCCGTTCTATATACTCGTCCTTGTATCTTTAAATATTATGTTCGTTATAGTTACTTTTACCTATGGAATTGTACCTACTTAACTTAAAATAACTAAAGACTCCCGGGATGGAATTTGATGCGCTTTGACACAAATGATCATGACTATGATACCTTTCAAACAAATGTAGTTTAGCCGTGGCGGACGTGGGTGCAGTGCCCATGCAATTTTGCCCATTGTCCTTTATAGTTAATTATGTCATTTTATTTATTCTATTCTAAGTCAATTTTCGTTTCTAAATATTCTCTGAGTAAAAACATGTCTTTATTAGCCACATTTTTAAGCTTGATGTATAAATTGATCCCTGTTTCCCTTGATCACGCCATAACTTGACAACGATTTTACCGATTTATCTTTTTTATTTTAAGATTTCTAATATATTGCAGGAGGTTCTTAAAAAAATGCGCGGAAATTTTAAGAAATCTTGTACAACTCTACCGGATTGGTGACGTTGCAGTTGCGACGTCTATCGGGTTCGCTAGTATTTTAATAAATATTGATAGCAACCAACCGACGTTTGTTAAAGACAACAACGGAGCAACGGGATACGCTAAGATAAAAAAAAAATGGATGCGTGTAACTTATGTACGCGCGTGAGAAGTTATACTTCTTTAGCATCATTAAAATATTTTTTAATTGCATGCAAATAATTAATAATTACAATAAAATAATAAGAGGACTGGAAAAGGATAGTTAACACAGTCAATTAAGTTCAGTTTTATTTAAAAAATTAAATAAATATTCAAAATATTCAATTAAAATCACTACGTGTTGTTACTAAGTTATTAGTCCATATGTAATTAGCACTTGTAAGTAACTAAAACACGTTGTGTTCTTGACCTTCACAAGTGCTTGTAACAGCCTAGACTGAATAAAAGTCATTTCATTTCATTTCATTTCATTTCAATGTCCCGTTCAAATCTGCCCTGTTTGCTTTGTTCAAATCTGCCCCACGGTCACTTGGAAAATAAAATATTACAAATAACGCGCCCGCGGCTAACTTCATTATGTTAAAATTTTGTGTTACAGTGATGAAAATTTCACTCTCATAAATTTTTTCATAACGCGGCTAAAGAAGTATAACTTCAAAAATAAACACATGCATCCTACAGGGAACTGTAGTAGGATGTTTTTTTATTATTTACATGTAAACATTGTTATATTTTAAATGTTATATTGTCGTGCCCTGCTGAGTCCATAGAATCCATACAATAATTGTAATACCATAATGCACTTATAGAGAGCAATAAAGGTGATTCATTGATTGACCCTTGGAGTTAAGAATGTTTCGGAGTGGTCGGTCATTGGATGGGTGACCAAAAATTTCCATCTAGAGCTCCTCCGTGCTTCGGAAGGCACGTTAAGCAGGACCAACGTCCCGGCTGTATCTGCAGTCGTTAGCACCCACCAATCTGCACTGGGTCAATCTCCCTATTCCATTCTCAGGGAAGGCCTGTGTTCCAGATAATGATATTACTGTTTTGTCCACAGGTTTCTACCGCAAAGACCATTTGCGTAAACACACGCGCTCGCACATCGCTCGTCGCGTGAAGGCGGAGTTATCTCAACAAACGCCTACTTCCGCGTCCTGACCCGTTTCCGCTGTCGCCCCAGCGCCATCTATTGAACATGATGACAAACAAGACCTACTCACGCTCATCGCTGCGGCTAAGGACGCCTTCTGATTATATAAGCAAGTCGTCTAACAAACACATACACTTACCCCTCGTTTACACCAAGGTATAATACATGTTGTATACAATACTTGCACCAAACTTGTTGGATAAACAAAATATAAATAATAATAATTAAATATTTCCAACACTCACACCAATTAGCCTAGCCCCAAAATAAGCACTGTAAGGCTCGTGTTATGGGTTACTAGGGTAACGGATAGGATACATATACCGATACTATATAAGTATATTTATATAGAAATACATATTAAACATCCATGACGGGAGTACAAACGCTCGTATTCATCACACAAACATCTGCCCCCACCGGGATTCGAACCCAAGTCGACCTCTCGAGTCGGCGACACCATGAAACACGGCGTATAAACCACTCGGCCACGGAGGTCGTCAAAGTATGTGAAGTAAATAAGTGATTTATACTTGTAAGATACTAGTTGTCTATGCAGTGTAAACGAAAGAATATTTTAAACAGTCAGAACAGTACTCTACAAGTTTTGTTTAAAACTAGTATATGACTTGTTCCTTGTTGGAAACGAGGGGTTAAACGGTACGATACGAACATGATTTCGAAATACATTTTACCAACAAACATTTGAGTGGCCAAACGTTCAGATAATTTAACACACCCCCGAATGAACTACAACTTGCTATAGGATCTGTTCAAAGAATCAGAAATGATATGAAAGCATTACGCCACAAATAAACTTCAATACAACGCGACACGCACACAGATAAAGCAAAATACCTCGACAAATCAAATATCTACAAATTAATTCGGTTATCTGTTCATTGGGTAAGATAATCTTAAACGGCAATTCCGACCAATCCTATGATCGTGGTGTAGGTTGCATTTTTCGCCACGCCCACCTAATCGCAGCTTGCGTAGTACCACTTTTGGGCGCAGTTCGTATTCCATATTATATCTAATTCGCTGGATCTGTTAGTTGGTGAAATGATTTCAAAATTTTGGAGACCTACCCATGATAAAAACGGTGACAAACGGTGATAAAAAAACACAACAGCAAAACATACCCATAGTTCGCCTGATAATAAGCGACCGCCATAGCCTGTAGACGGTTGACTTACTGTATAGTGGACTGTGAACCTCATGCCGGCTATTAAATCAGCGGAAGTCGCGGCGCATTAAACGAAAAGTCGCGCGATGCTGAAGTACAGTGCGACAAAGATCTTATGAATGTGAATAAGAGTTCAGGTAGGGCGCCACTGCCTTCGCAAATGATATACAAAAAACGAGCGAGCCTTACAGTAGTCGCGAATGATGTGTAACATTTGAAACCCACCTTATTTTACTAAAAAAAGAAATAAAATCTACTACAAAAGGAATAAGCCATTTGAACATTATGTTCTAAAATCAAATCAAATAGCGCGCGCTTTCGCGACCTCCTGTTACACACTTCCGTCCCATTTCACGAAATCACTCCCACACATTGCAGGAAAGCGAGAGGAAAGATGTTACACATCAAAAAAACGAGTGAGCCTTACAGTAGTCTCGTATGATGTGTAACATTTGAAACCCACCTTATATTAGTAAAAAAAGAAATAAAACCTACTACTACAAAAGGAATAAGCCATTTGAACATTATGTTCTAAAATCAAATCAAATAGCGCGCGCTTTCGCGGCTTCCTGTTACACACTTTCGTCCCATTTCACGAAATCACTCCCACAAATTGCAGGAAAGCGAGAGGAAAGATGTTACACATCATAAATATACGGCGGTGTTACTTCGAATTTTCGCAACATTCCTATAGATCCTTGTAGCACTCTAGGCGCGCGCAGAATTCACTAAACTGAAACCTGCGCGTTGTTGGTCTAGCTGCTAACTTCACAACCGCCATAAAGTTTGGATCACTCTCTTAGTGCATATACTCTAAGGTATTTATTAATATGCATTGAGTGTATGCTCTAACATCACACAATATCACTTGCACGTTGCCTATCCTAACCCAATCCTCGCTCCGTGGGCTTGGAATTTTACTCATCGATAAAATCACAACACCATCTAAAGTACTTTTTTACTGTGCTATGTATCTACTGTATCCTATAAGTTCGAGGGTAATTCCTCAGATGAGCGCTCCAGTTCGAGCAGAAAACCCGCTATGCCTTACCTCTCTTATAAAGCTTATAACTTATTAAGATTACTTAATTTTGCGAGCTTTTATAAGTTTCGTAACACTGGTTTCGATTCTGGCATGTTTCTCTAAAGCTGAACTTAAATTTGACAGCAGTGTATCCTTGTCATTCTCTATACAGAATGAAAAGGACAGACTGCTGTTAAATTTAGTTTTAAGTTTAGAGAATCCTGCCAGAATCGACACCACTATTCTCAAAATGATATCTCGACATTTTGAATTACTGAATTGTGTACATTGTGAGTATTAGGCATTGGAATGGAACAACTTAGACAAAATAATTTTAATTCAAACATTGATTAGATGCTGAAGAAGAAATCTTATCAAAATGATTTTTAAAAAATTACAGGATAAACCTGTCATGATTTTTAATAACGACACTAATTTTTTGGTAATAACTTTTTACGTTCATATAGCATAATGTTATTCTGTTTCAAATAGTTTTTTTTTTCATTTAAGTACTATTATATTATAATTAAATTATTATCTATATAACGTAGATAAATATAAATTGTAAATTAAAAATATTGTTAAACTCGAAATAGCAATATTAAAAAGTAAATTCTGAACACTCTTTAATGGGGTCTATTACTACCTAACACAATGAGAATAATTATGAAATTGTATATATCTAATAACAGAAACTAAAGACGATTATAGTTTATGTAAATAAATAGATTATTCCGAAAATAATAATGTACTTATTAGGAATATATTATTTGATTATTCAGTAAATAAAAACATTTCATTCTGTGATTTGTAGTAAAATCTATGATGATTATTTAAATTAATGAATTACATAAAACTCATATCTATGTACACTAGCTATATACTTAAGTATATAGCCTAAGTTTTAGTTATTTACGTTACGTCGCCAATACCGCCCGATTTAAGGTCAGTAACTCACCATAATATGGAAATCTGATCAAAAGGTTTGTGATCAGGCATAGGTCAAAACAGTATTTTTTATTTTATTTTCAGTTACACCTGATTGTTTTGAGGGAATCACTCTTGAATAAAAAAAAATATTGTAAATATCATAGTTGAGTAATAATTACTTTGACCAAAGTTTGGAGGAAATAAATCTAGTGTATCATTGTATATTCATAATAATCTTAAAATTGATTCGTCATTGAAAGTTTTTTATAATGTTGTATTCGTTATTATTGTACATAAACAATACATTACTATTGTGATATGTTTTTTCCATATACTTTGCTGTGATAAAAATAAGATCTAAGTTATGAATATTGTTCAGATATTCAATTGTTGGCTACAGTTATTAAAAGATGGTTTTTAAAATTAGTTTTTATTATGTGGGGTTATCGTTTACTTTGAAAATTTAATATATGTTAAAAATAATTGTAATTATGAATTTGAAAAGTATATATTATGTTCCCTTATAGCTTACTTGTTATATTGTATATCTATGTATGTAAAATGTTTATAAATGTAGTTCTTTATAGAATAGTTGAAGATGTAGGTAAAAGAATATTTTTGTAATAATTTAAGGGCAAATCTTTTTAGATTTTTAAGTTCCCAAGTGGAACCAAGTACAAAGAACTATTTAAGCGTCGAGAAGTATTTACGAGGCAGCAGGTCAGTATAATATAAAGCAATATTTTATCAGCTTTACTCACTTCAATAAGTGTCTGTTTTTGCCAATGTACATTCAAATATATGTCAAGATATCCGAAACTGACAATTTTCTCCAACCATTTTTGAGCTTTATCCTGCGTGGTGTAAGATTTGACATATTGAGTTGCTTTATATTTTCGATTTTACATAAACGAATTGGGATCTTGCCCAACCAATACTAAGTGACCACAGGTTGTTATCTACATTGCTTTCTAGCTTTTGCTAAATTTTATAATTTGTCTGCCCGAAAAAAAAACAGTCGGTTGAAAAGCCACCATAAAAACCTTTATTATATAGTACAGATTAATAAACGCTTTCTTTTATTTTTTACTAGATAAAGACCGATTTCGACAAATATTCTAATATAAAAACTCACAAGACGATACATCCAGTTGTTAACATTGTTCTAAGATGATGTAGGTACGACATGATTAACAAAAATACGAATTGATAACACGTTGTAACTGTGCATCCAAACATGTCTCAAAAATCTGCATTGCTATAATATTAATTATTAATACAATGTTATTTTTAGTTCTAGTGTGTCATAATAATACATAAATATGAAAATACATTTTATGAAATAGAAAAGTGCTTCCGTTATATTTCCGATCTTGTGCTTTTAAGAATCTTATCAATAAATAAATAATCTAAATTATCAATATCCTCTTTTATTATGTTCCATCCATTCTTACTACAGTAGTACACAAAATGAACTAAGCGTCATAATTATTATTTATACTCAGAAAAAAAAGGTATATAATGTCGAATTTAATATAATATTTCATTGAATTACGAACAATTAAGGTGGCCCTTATTTTATTTTGGATCAGTGGGATATGATTATTACAGTAATTTATGTTAATAACGGGACTGTTACCATGTACCTTGTTTTAACGAGTTTCCGATATTTCAGCACTGTTGCAAGCGTAGTGTGTGTCGAGAACAGATTCGAGTGAATAGTGAGAATGTGAACAGTTGTAGGGGTATCGAACGCAATAAAAGACTCCGTTGGAGGGTAGACCGATATGTCTGCCAATAACAGCCTACCCGCATTTACTTCGGTTACTTCGTGATCATGGCGCTTGCAAGTGCCGAAATATCGAAAACTCGCTAAAAACAAGGTACATGGTAACAATCCCGTAAATAACAAATTACTATAATGTAAGTGACCATGAAAGTTTAAAACAATATATATGACTAATGAAATAAAACCAAATTTTTTATGCAAAATACTTTATTAATCAAAAACGTTCTTACGATAGAGGTTCTTACACATACAATCACAAAATATTTCTGTTAAGACGAACTTGAAGGAACTTCACAATAAAATCTATATTTAAAATTACATCATAACTATAAGTATTTGGTACATGGCACGATACGTGTCGTATTATAATGTTATTTGCAAAAAAACTGCAGTTTAATCCTATAATCGCTCTTATGTTTCTATTAATATAAAGATTTGTACATCATAGAAAAGAACTCGTTTATATTATTTATATAATCCGAGATAATTTACAATAAACTTTCACTCTGTAAGTAAACATTGATTATGATGGTAAAATTGGTTATGTTGGGAATTTCGGAGCTCCTTGTCGTACACATTCAATTACATGGTCAACTGTTGTTTACCATAATATTAAGATGTAACTAACATAGTTATTAAGTAAGTTTTTTCTATCAATTAAACATTTAATAACTAAATAAGCAATTATAAAAAGTTAACCTCCTCTAATTTTGAGATCCATTTGTACATTAATATAAGTGAATTATTATGTACTTTGGACCCATCCTGGTATGTCAGATTTCCACCTAATGGCCTAGAAATTTTCAATGACGTGACTTTGTGACAATGTTTATTTAGGAAACAGCTGTTTGAATTAACATGGTACAAAATACATTCAGGTCTCCTCTAGGTATTTGACTTTTTGGCAATAGGCTATAAGAGTACATGATCTTATATAATATCTATCTCATAATTGCTGGCTGTACCAATAATACATATTATACATTGTTTCTTTTGTAAAAAAAATCTTAATTCGGAACTTAAACCCGCGACGGCTCATCTCTGACTCTCAACTAAAGTACGAGAAAACGTAATTAACAATACTGTCGAATACATCATATCATTAATAATTCATTTCACTGCTACTTATGAATTGAAAAAATAATATTGTTACAAAATATTTTGACACTCCAATTTCTTTCGACAACGCTTTATAAATTCGGCAACACTAAATATTTTTTATCCTGACATTAGCTTGCAGTGAAAATAACAGACCAATAAAAAATAGGAGAGACCAAGAAGCCTTCTTGTAGGTTAATTTTTTGATATTTTTTTTGTCAGCGATAAAATCATTGAGAATTTACACATTTATGACAATAATGTTTTTTTCTCAAACATGCTTGGAAATGTGAGCATTATTTAGACAACCTTCTTCGAGATAAATCGAAATTGCTGTACTGGACGCATACATGCGAGCACTGGCCGGCAAATATTGTTTGAAAATCCATAATAGGGATGATGACTAATTTTTTTTCTTCGTTTATCAGGTAGATTATCAGAAAGTATTGGACACGTATTTTTTATTTTTTCACATAATATAAACATTGCAGAGATATATTAATTTGAAAAGTCGCATGACGTCACGTTTGAGTACACTTTTAAGTGAAAATTCACTCAAAAGTGACGTCACGAGCCCCTACTCCCAAATTTTAACGCGCTATAACTTTGTCATTTTTTGGTTGATTGCCCAAAGAAAAAAAAAAAGTTTACATTATTTTTTGATCATCTAACTGACGGACTAAATAGAATTTCGTTTACTGTACCCCGTCATCACCCCTATTGTCGTGTTTAGCGGCCAAATAAATTACATAGTAAACTCATATCTGTCGTCTACTTTAAAAATGGGACGGTTTTTTACTCTAGAACATGGCAGCCAAGGAGGTAACTTATCATAGGTTTTATTCAAAATATGAACTGGATTTCGAAATAGAAAGCAGTTTATGAAAACTTAACTTGACACTAGCAATGTACAAATTGTACGAGCCAAGAAAAACAAAGTTTATGAAAAAAAACAAATGAACATTACACGGGAAAAATATTATTGCTTGTCATTGATTTTGCAGAATTTCGAAAGTTCTGCCTATAGTCTGTCCATTTATTTATTATCTTTTTAGCATAAAATCGATTATAGATTTAAATCCAACGAGTAATGTCATAGGGTGTCACTATTTTTACTTCGATCGTCTGTCAAAAAGATAATAAATGAATGGACAAACTATAGGTACTCCTGCCATTACAAAAAAAAAACTATAGGTACGGAAATTTTGGCGGGATCGGGAAGCGTCACTTTAGCAGTTTTGTTTTTCTTGTTAAAAATTGTGTTGTGGCGGATGTAAGTGTCTAATAATGGTGGATTATTAACTACTAAGTGTTCGGGAACATATGCACAAGTGCTGGCAAGTGAAACAAATAGCGGAAAGTATCTTTCGACGTTTCCTCAAGAAGTCCACGGGGAGGTTCCAGTAAATCTCCACACATTTACTGAAACATAGGGAAAGGGGGATTGACTTGACTGCTACTTACTTTGACTTGATTACTTGATTTATTACTTTGACCACGAGTGCTATAGAATTAAAACATTTTAACAGTTGACATTGGCTAAATGCACAAGCCGTGCGAAGCCATTTAGAAAAAAAACTAGGTACCACTTAGTTTTAATTTCCGCGCATTATTTGAGAAAAGGACTATACAAGCCTTGGCCACAACTAGGCATTGATGGACTTAGTCACGTTCGTCCATCTTTGCCTCTTGTTGGGCGCTGCAGTAATGTACTATTTAATTAGGTATCTACGGTGAGCAGGACGGAATTTGCGAAAAATAAGCTACAATAATGAATTCTAATATATGAAATGTAGTTTTTCGCCATGTCTAGAATTCTTTTCAGCATCTGTACATTGCAAAATCAAGTTAGAATGTTTATTTATGGTAAGTCTTTTAAACTCCTTATAAACTTCAAAAATGCTATCAGATCCTGTGCAGTTAGAGAATAAACTGACATTTTCTATTATTGCAATAAATGTATAAAGGGTATATTCTTATGATTTCTACTCAAAAGACCAAACTTCTATACACAATTTTTATTGATGAAAAAAATGGAGTCACCCAATGGATTTTTTTTCATCCACTTACACTCATAGTAACAAAGACGATTTGAATACTCGTATATTATGAAATATCTATACGCTCGCCAATTATAACGATATTCAATAAAATATTCACAGAATGATCCTTAAAAGAAACTTATCAATTAAGATGTTTATGTTATTACTTATACTTAAAATCTCTCCGTTTTATTAGTGTATTCACGCAAGTTTAATATAATTGTAAATAAATATATCACTTAAATTATGCGTGATTATTAGTTGGTATTGCTTCAGATATGTAAAAGTAATGTAGATAAAAATATCTTATTGATTTATGCTATTTTCATGCAAAAAAGAATGTTTTCCCAAATTTTAACTAGTAGTAAAAGTTATCAGCATAAGGTCCAAATTTTGTACCATCGTTATGCATTAACATTAAAATAAATTACATTTGAGAATGTTACCTACTACTACATGCTATAAATTATGTAACAATTATTAAATGAGTTTCATGCCCACTGAATTATGGTTTATAATGAAAATGATAAGGTGTTTTAAAAATACAAACATAAAAGCAGTCTCTAAATACTTAATAATATTTTGTAGTCATTTTTGTAAATAACTAGATCTTTTATACAGATAGAGAGTCAATGATTGTCCAAACTATTCAAGAGAAGTAACCAATTTAAACGGCCACATTGGATATTTCCACATTAAGAAACTTGTCTCTGATATCAGACAGAGCTCGAATCTTTATTTTACAACCTAATGCTCTGTACTGTAAAGCAACTAAGACTCAAGGATACATGACGAATATTTAATTGCGTTACTTGAAAAATAAATTTTATAAAAGAACTATCATTATTTCGACAAACAATTTTTTCGGATGCCTTCAAAAATACATGTTTGACTTCTATCTAATTATTATGATCAGTAACCCGGGCATTTATGTCAATTGAGGAGCTGGCGAACAAAACGGTATAATTACTCATCTGGTCAAACTACTTCTTTTTACAATCCGGATGTTTCTGGCCCGTTGAATTTGAATCTCAAATAATCTTCAATAAAAATCGCCTAAAACAGTGTTATATTACTAAATTTATAAATTAAAAACGATGCAAAAGCACACTGGAGGTATGTCATTCAGTTTTATACAGCTCCTGTAAAATTTAATTTTATATAATTATACCGTTTCGTTCGCCAGCTCCTCAATTTATATTATGGAAAAAGTACAACCATAGGATATTGCTACAGTTTAGATGTATGAAACTGTACGTTACGTGAATATTTCGTGTTGTTTGGTGCCGTTCTGAGGGTCTATGGTGACAGAACGTTGTTCGCCGTCGCTGTTCGAAAGCACCACTTGGTAGGGCACTTTGATCTGCAGTGGCACTCGAAGCTTAGAGTTAGAAGGAGCCTGCCATTGTAAAAACGTATATGTAATAATAATATTTCCAACACTCACACCAATTAGCCTAGGTCCAAAGTAAGCACTGTAAGGCTTTTGTTATGGGATTCTAGGGTAACGGATAGAATACATACACTGTACATATATAAGTATATTTGTATAGAAATACATATTAAACATGACTGGAGTACAAATGCTCGTATTCATCACACAAACATCTGTCCCCACCGGGATTCGAACCCGGGATCTCTCAAGTCGGCGACACCGTGAAACCCGGCGTACAAACCACTCGGCCACGGAGGTCGTCAATGTAAGAAGTATATGTATTAACGAAATATCGGAGTCTCATAAAAAACAAGATACATGGTAACAATCCCGTTAAAAGCTATAATGTTAGTTACCATGAAATTTAAAACAATATATTAATGATAGAGTTCAAATTTTGAGTAAAATACATAATGCGAAAAAGTATAAAGAACTTTGCATTGTGCATGCTTTGATAGTAGAAAGCTAGCAACTTATAGTTTCGTTTTGTATAAAATAATTATTTTCTCGTTTTTGTTGGTGGCGGACGAATGAACATCCTCGTCTGCTGATTGTGACCTACTATTTTATTGTTATTAGGTATCTTATTTAATGGTCACAGTATACTAATAAATCTATAATATAATAGTATGAACCTTAAAAGACCTTTAGTATTATTACTGTATATTATTCCTTTTGATTCACAAAATAAATAAAATAAAAAGCAGAGCTTAATTATGTTGGTTTAAGCGCAGTACAAATAAAATAAACCAATTGTTATTCTGTGTCGTCTGTTCTTCTGTTGTATTGGTCTGTCTGTCTGAGCCATCACAACAGACATTGGATCACGTGACATGCCCCACAGACGAGAGGATTATTGGCATTGAAATTACTTCTCTCATGAAGAGACTTTACACCAGCCACAACAGCATCTTGGAGGTTGTAGGAGATAGGTCCGGTGTCCTTTAAGTAATCACTGGACAACTGTACTTATTGAATTTAATAAAATGCCATACTTATTTATATAATTATTTTTTAATTTGTAATTTTGTATTTATTTTAATTATCATTATTTTTTTGCTGACATTTATAATTTTGTACTTATTTTAACAATTTTGTTTTTTAATTTGTATGCTGCTATTATCATTATTTTGTTATTATGTAATTTACATGGCGAAATGGCTGAAATAAATGAATTGAATTTAATTAGCGAAAGTACTCACGTGTATAGTGATCTCCGGTTTGATTTCCTTCTTGGGCACGCTACTAAGCGGCAGTAGCCCGGGCAGCTGCTTCTTCGGAGGCGCGCGCGATTGTAGCTGCGCACGCGCATGAATCTGCGCGTGCTTCTGTAGGTGATCCTTCCGATAGAAACCTTGAAAAAATACCGGCCAAGAGTCAGACTCTCGTATGAACAGTTCCCGTACCATCCTTCTTTCTACTTATATTATAAATGTGAAAGTTTGTTACTTAATCACGCAAAAACGGCTGAACGGATTTGGATGAAATTTTACACACAGACAGCTAATAACTTGGACTGGGCTACGGACATTGTATATATCATGTGTTAGCCTTCGAATTTCTCTAGCGCGATGTAGGCTTTTCATTCTATTTAATGCGCCGCCAGTAATGTCATCTCTCGACAAGGCGAGTGATTTCACCCACCATTAGTTACATTATATGTGGGGCGTGTAGATTTCACTGCCACAGACTGATTCAATCTGTATTAAACCGTTTCCATCTTATTCCAAAACGCGTACTAACGTTAATCTTGTTTTAAACCTAATGTTGTCTCTGTATTCCTTTTACCAAACAACATCTGTTTAAGTCCAGGATCCACCGATATTAAATACCCTAGATACACCACGTGCGCTCAAAATGTTTCCCAATCAAGAAGTGCTTGAACACCACTCAAGCACTTCTTAGTTCACAGTCACGCGCGGACTGGATACGGAAAAAAAATGCGAAAAAATACGTATAGTACGTAAAGTGTCGTTTTTTCGACTGGTATCTAAACAATGTTTGTTAATTTAAAGCATTTGAAGCAAATTTTAGTCTAACACTCACTATAAACTGATTTAATAGAAAATATTTGTGATATTCAAATGCATGGTCGGTAATATAGCCGTCTTTTCCTTGCGGTCGGTAACTGCTAACTTGCAAACAGAGCATTCAAGATTGCGCGTTGAGGCAAACAAATAAGGTCTATATTCTTCCGCATATAGCAATAAGTCGAAAAATAGTATGGAGTTTGCATTTCGAACTGTCATAACTCTTTGACGCATGCGTATTAATTAAGACTTTATATGTATGCGTTAAAGGTGACTTTTAATGTTTAAATATGGTCTTATATTGTGTTAGACTACGCGATCATCTTACAGAGCTCTGTGTACCGTCCAATGTACCTTTTGGACAGGTTTCGGCCACGATTTAGTTCGTGTTGGTGTATCTAGGGTATTTAATATCGTTGCCAGGATCAACTTTAGTCTACGTTTTGTTTGAAGTCGACTCACCTTTCCCGCAGTGTTGGCAGAAGAAGGACCGCACTCCCGTATGTATATGGAGGTGTATCTTGTAGTGATCCTTGCGCTTGAACGGCTTAGAACAGTATCGGCACACGTACACGCGTTGCGGGACCGGAATGTCCCTCTCGTCATGAACCATCAGGTACGAAGCACCGTCCACTGACTCAATCTGTACGGAAACGGTTGTGTTGCAAATATGTACACTTCCGAACACATCTATCGGCCCACTAAGGCTCGTATTATAGAATGACAACTGAGGCGCTCAGCGCAAAAGTGGTCTAGACCTCAATTATTCATATTCTGATTAAGTGGCTAAGCCCACTTATGAAGTTTACGTTGAGAGAAACAAATCAATGCAAAAATAACTTTTGCAACGCCATTTATTGACGCCTGAATTGAAATACGATTTTGAATTAAATTTTAACAAATATTTATTTAATTGTACGAGATGAATCAGAATATAAATAATTGAGGGTTAGGCCACTTTTGCGCTGACAGCCTCAACAAGGTGTTGATCTTTAATTGAGTACAGTTAGAAAGGGTTGTCGCTATGTGCTATAGATATCTATTTCTAACTGTACTATACAGAACAACATCCCTTTCTAACTATACTCAAGTAAAGATTAACACTTAGTTGTCATTCTGTAATATGAGCCTTATAAGTTTCAGAGGTCTGTAGCAAAAATATATGTAAGGTCGAGAAATAATAATATAAATCTAAAGAAAATATAACTAGAAAAAAATCTTTAGATTTAAACATCAAGCAGTTACATGCTTTAAAAATAATAAAAATTATAACTATAATTGCTATTTCTTCTTTCAAATGTTTAATACTTGTAAAAGTATTCATTTGACATTGTGGGTTTACCTATAATGCGAAGAGATGGCGCTGCCTTGCAGCTTAAGAATAGCTAGAAGGAATTTCGACGCGGTCCGTGAGGGCCGCGGTAGCATAATTGGTCAGTGCATTCGCCCGGATTGCGAAGGGTGCGGGTTCGAGTCCCGTCTGCTGCCTGGTCCGCGTGGAATTTTTTCTAGTTATATTTTCTTTAGATTTAAACATCAAGCAGTTACATGCTTTAAAAATAATAAAAATTATAACAATAATAATATAGTTTTGAACAAACACAAATAAAGATTTCTAATAAATCAGCTTCGAAACTGCATAAACACTTTTTGCTCACGGTAACATTAATTTTTAGCAAGGGACTGTCAAAACTTAAAATGCTATTACTTATATGGGAGTATATAATACCACTATTATAAATAACGCTCAAAAATTTCTTTTTTGTTTTTTTGAAGTGGAACTTCTTTACGCACGCTTGACTTGGGGGGGAGGAAGCTGGCGAATGCGTAACGCGTTGCGAAAAGTGTGTTCGGGCGAGACGAACGGGAGTTGAGTGGGAGATATAAGCAAGGGAAAGCAGTGCACTTGCGTTACAAAAAAATATAACTCGCAACGGTGCGAAGTTATATTTTTTAGCCTCCTCCTCATATAGGTCTGCCTACCCTGACCCAATCCTAGGGGCATGCCCCGTGGCGCCCTGGAACCTTACCCACGTGCTTGTGCTTTTTGGTTCGTTGCTAACTTCACAACCGCCGTTAACTTTGAATCGCGCTATATGTGAGAGATTACTACGACTAAACAGTATTAAGAGGTAGGATAGCGGATTTTCGTCTCCATTATAAACGCTAGTCTAGTAAAGTAACAGACACATTAATCAAAAGACATTAGTGACACATACTCAGAGGTCCCGGGTTCGAATCCTGGTGGGTAAAATGTTATAACACATGCCTTATAAGCGCTTACTTTGGGGTCAGGCTAATTGGTGAGTGTTAAAAATATTTATTGTTATTCTAGTAGTCGTATATTGGCCGAAATTAGACCTTTATAGTTCTTCTGTCAAAGAGTATACTTGGTTTTAAATATTTAATATGTTGACAGATACAAAAAATAACACCAAAATGTAGTGTGTTATGGGATACTGGGGTAACGGATAAAATACATACACAGATGCATATATAAGTATTTTTATATAGAAGTACATATAAACATCCATGGCTTAGGTACAAATGCTCGCTTTTCATCACACAAACATTTTACCCACCAGGATTCGAACCCGGGACCTCTGAGTATGTGACACCTTGAAACCTGGCGTATATATGACTCTGGTCTAGACTCATCTGATCTCTAGAATAAATAAAATATTGAAGTACTACCGGCCACTCGCGACTTCGTACGTGGAGTAAGTAAGAAATAAAGGTTTACTGTTCGTTCCCCGTAGGTGATAGCGTCATAATAAGTAGCCTATATGTTGACACGACTTCTTAATAATATTCATGCCAAATTTGAAGTAAATCCATGCAGTACTTTTTGAGTTCATCCCGGACATACATACGGACAAACAGTCAAAAATTCTAAATACTATATTTTTGGCTTCAATATCGATTGTAGATCACACTCCAAGTATTCTTTAAAAAAATGTTCTTTGTACAGTTTTGATTTCCCTACCATTTTATTATAATTATGTATAGATAATTGTCAGACTAACCGTCTCTGTTGGCATAGAAGGCTGTGTTGGCTTGTTGTTTTCTTTCTTAGCTTCCTGAGGTGCGTCCGTAGAATGGGCCAGCTCGTCTTCATTTGTTGGTCCATTCTGGTTACCACTGTACGGGCATTCGTGCCCTTCGAACTCGCCGTTTGACTTGAACTCTGAATAAAGTAATAAATAAATATTCAAAATCATAATTAAAATTGCATTTTCAACACACAGCAATTGTAACTAAATATTCAATCATCATCAACCTATTAATCTCCTCACTACTGGGCCTTCCCTAAGGACAGATTAGGTTCAAGTTCAAAGTTCAAGTTGATAGATAGGGAGCTTGGTCCGTGACCCACCACGCGGGTCCAATGGATTGCTGGGTGCTAACGACAGCTGATACAACCGGAAACAACGCTTAACGTGCCTTCCAAAGCACGGAGGAGCTCTAAATAAGAGTGGAGAGTAAATTTTTGGTCACCCACCCAATGACCGACCACTGCGAAAGCTCAGCTTTAACGATCGCAGCCGAACGCGCTAACCAATTGCGCCATCGAGCTCCTCAAATAGTAAATAAAAATATTCAATATCACATTTAAATTATATTCAATATAATGTTGACGTTATTCTTCTATCATCATCATCATCATTATCATCATCTGGCTATTAAGGTCCCCACTGCTGGGGGACAATATCGATTTATCGACATATTTGCGAGTTTGCGAGTGCGAAATGTCATTGTCAAATTACGTGTACGTATTTTTAATACCATATAATAAAAAAAAATCCAACAAAATATTTAGGGGTGTGTAACGTAGTGTTCCATCAATTTCCTGGGATAACATTCCTCCTAACCCATATGAGAACACTACGTTACAATACCCAATAGTTTGAATTTTGGCGCGAAGGCGCATTGTAAGTTACAGAACACTACGTTACAGGTGGACAACCATTATCACTTATGTATATGAAAAATAGATAGTAGCCGATTCTCAGACCCACGAAATATGCATATAAAATTTCATAAAAATCGGTCAGGCCGTTTCGGAGGAGTATGGTAACTAACATTGTGACACAAGAATTTTATATATAAGAATTCCATCACTCACACCGACTAGCCTAGTCGGCGACACCATGAAACCCGGCGTACAAACCACTCAGCCACGGAGGTCGTCAAATTTAAATATTTACCTTGACCGCACATGGAGCACCAGATGGAGTGGTCCATCTTCTTGGCGTTCAAGTGCACTTTGGCGTGCACTTTGAGGTGCTGCTTCCGTTTGAACCGCCGATGACAAATAGGGCACTCGTGCGGTCGCAGGTGGAGATCTTGGAAAGAACGCCGTTCCACTAAGAGATCTTGCGCTAACTGCCAAAATGAGAAAAATAATGTTATTAATAAATCTTAGACATGAAACAGGTAGCATCAGCACATCACATCTTATTAATGTTCCCACTGCCTAGCCACAGGCGTTCCTCATGCATGGAATAGGGAGTTTGTACTATGACCAACCACGCGGACTCAGTGTGGATTGGTATGTACTAAAGACTGCAGATGCAGCCGGGGCCAACGGCTTAATGTGCCTTCCGAAGCACGGAGGAGCTCGAAAAAAAAGATTTTAGGTCACCCATCCAAAGACGGACCATTGCGAAACTTGATAACTTCCACAATCGCAGGCCAAACGCGCTAACCACCTGCGCCATCGAGCTCCTCCATCAGATACCGTTATTCAAATATATTAAGAAAAGTTTTGTATGTTTAAAACAAATAAACACAATAAATATCTCTGTATAAATGCAAAGACGCCACTATTTAAAAAAAACGAGCGAGTCTTACAGTATTCGCTTATAATGTGTAACATTTGAAACCTCACCTTATATTAGTACAAAAAGAAATAAAACCTACTACAAAAGGAATAAGCCATTTGAACACTTACGCGACTTCCTGTTACACACTTCCGTCCCATTACACGAAATCACTCCCACAAATTGCAGGAAAGCGAGAGGAAAGATGTTACACGTCAAAAACTAAAGACGATCGATAGAAACATCAAACAAGGATAAGTAGAGAAAATTCAAGCGATACATTTAATTATCCCTTTCACCTCCACGCTAAGGAGAGCACGGGGTGTATTCCGAAATATACATCAGTATACTGGCCAGTGGTAATGACGTCACGAATCCGACGCCATATTTTTACCGGGAAAACGAATATGACGTATGACCGAGCGTGCGTGAGAAGCATTAAAATTATATTTCTTTTTTATTTAAAGAACAATAACGGCATCCGTACAAAAAGAATTCCTTTTAATTGATGAGGTGAATAAAAAATCTTCTTTACTCGCACTATTTTAATATTTCGTCGATTTACGACGTCAGTGCACTGGCCTATATTTCGGAACTATTTACCAGTATAGCGTCGATTCCTGACGTCATTAGCGCTGGCCAGTATACTGGTATATATTACGAAATACACCCCATATTAAGCCGTTTGGCACTAGTTACAACAAAAGTCGCAAGCAATCACAGTACGCACTGTGTCCGCGTGTTAGAAACATCAATTTTCACTGTGTGATTTTGTCCATAACGGACGTGTACGCTTAGTTAGTTTAAACTACGCAACGGATTTTATCGCAATTTTCAGCAATAGATACGAGTGATTCAAGAAGGTTTATATGATATCATGGCTGAGCGCAAAACTACAGTCTTTACCAAAGCGAAACGAGAGCTGAGGGCCAATCGCCTTACCGGATTGCTTTGGAAAACGCTATCGCTTACGATTTCATTTTGTTATTTCTAGCCACCTGAGATTTTCAATGAGGAGCTCGATGGCGCAAGTGGGTAGCGCGTTCGGCAGCGATCGTTGAAGTTAAGCAACTTTCGCAGTGGTCGGTCATTGGATGGGTGATCAAAAATTTCTCGAGCTCGTCCGTGCTTCGGAAGGCACGTTAAGCCGTTGGTCCCGGCTGCATCTGCGGTTGTTAGCACCCACCAATCCGCACTGGGCCCGCGTGGTGGGTCATGGCCCAATCTCCCTATTCCATCCATAGGGAAGGCCTGTGCCCCAGCAGTAGGGACATTAATAGGCTGATGATGATGAGATTTTCAAATGCCTCGCGCTCTTTTTTTTTCTTTTGCATTGTTAATAACAATATTAAAGAAAATCAGCGTGAGGTATTTGAAAACCTTCGGCGGTCAGACATGACAAAATGAAATCGTAAGCGATAGCGTTTTCCTAAGCAATCCCGTTAGGCGAATGCCCCCCGGTCAATATATGATGATTATAACGTTTGAAATTTTTTATTATTACTTCAAATTTTTGGAGTTATGCAGTCGCAGTGGAACCGTCACTGCGACCTTGAAGATCTACTGTGACTCATCACTACGTTAAAGAACCTCTATTAGCCTGTTTCCAAGAAGCTCAAAAGTTTCTAGCTTTTAAACATGTGATCCTCTGAACGTATTATATGTTTGAAAATTACCATTGGATCGTATTCCTCGGAGCCGACCATCCCCTCTTCTGTCTGGTTACCTTGGTACTGTTTCATGTGGACTTGAATACAGACTCGCATGTGCGCTCTCAAATGATCCTCCTGGTGGAAACCTGAAACAATGAAAGATATTATTTTATTAAACTTTCTTTTGTTACCGGGAAAAAATGTGTGTGATGAGAAAAAGAAAAAAGAGATGTGCTATTCAAACAATAATGAAACGCAATACGAACTCTTTTGCGCGTAAAGGTAATTATCAAACACTTGATTACATTGATATTTATTTTATTATGTTGGTAATAAGTTCATAGTCTATCTAAGTCCTCCTGAAATTTTAGGCAGTCCAAGGTAGATTTTATAGACATAAATTTTCGTATCATTGGCATACATTAGATACTTAACATATCGAAAACACTGACCTATGTCGTAGAGGTAAGCAACATACAGAAGAGGACCGTTTATTTATCCCTGCGGCACAGAGGATGATAAAAAATGATGAAACAATTTATCGACATTGACTATCAAACTTCAATGGAGTTTGACAGTTAAAGACAATACAAAAGATAAATAGGAAAATAATAAAAAAAAAAATTTTGAAGTTAAGCGTCAACCAAGTATACTGAAAGACAATCACGATGTACCCTGACCGATGACTAGGAACAAGGCTGGCTGCGTCCAGAGCAACTTGAGTGCAATCATTGCCAAGTTGTCCTATATTAAAATGCGGAGGTCATCGGTAAACTTAATTTAGCAAGAAATTAGTGCCAATTCTGGCGTGATTCTCTAAATTTAAAAATAAATTTAACATCAGTCTCTTCTTTTCATACTGTATAGAGAATGACAAGGATACACTGTTGTCAAGTTTAGGTTTAGAGAATCATGCCAGAATCGACACCATTATCTATATTTGCAACAGAATAGAGGTAAGTTTACAATTAATAACTAGTGTTGGGTTTTGGCAGTGATTGCTTTAACGAATTCGATACCTACCAATGCAGTGTCCTTAACCAGTGGTAGGGAAAAAAATATGGACGATTCAAAAGAGTTGTATTTTGCATCCAATTTGAATAAAGATATTTTGACTTGTGAGTAAAAAGTAAAGATCCCGATATTCGCGCAAACCTATTGTGCCTACAAAAAAAAGGCATAAAATTTTAGTTTTAGAATGTAAAACTTTACGCACTCACTTCTCGACGTTATGTGAAAAAGGATAGGGAAAAAGGTATTTAGGGGCACCTCCCGAATCCCAGGTAGTTGCCCCCCCCCCTTGAAGCCCAGCGTTAGATGCGCAGATGAACCCAATGGTATTTTTTTATTCTTAGCAGGTAAATACTGCTGCAAAAAATGTCCAAGGGGTAATATGGAATGCAACACTTAATACATATCATATTTAATAAAGGAGAAATACTCGTAAGAAAATTGACAATATACACTCCCAGACACATTTATAGGGCCACTTAAGTTTCATCGGTCCAGAGATGTAATAGATACCCTACAAAAAGTATGTAAATACAAAATACTAGGTAGTCAAATATTTAAATATCAGATACAAGATACGTATTTTCTAAATACTTTTTTAAGATAAAGATACTTTCTGGAAGAAAGCATATTTTTATTGGTTTTAAGGTTTATTTAAGTTAGTAAATGTATTAACAAAGCAATTCCTTTTTTTTAGTTTAAAGAGTTTTCGTGAAATCCGAATTTGATGAAATTCATCCGCTCCGGTCGAATTGGAGCGCCTGTCTGGGGTTAATTGCCACGCGACGACAGCAGACAAAAGCAGTTGTCATGTCACTGTGACGTGCAGCCTCTTTTGCTCTCCTGTTAAATAACATTAAGGTGAAAAAGAAGAACATATAAACTTATTTTCTTTTCGCGGTGAACAATGTTAATAGAAAAGTAAATCGTTTTGAAATAATAATAATAAGGAATTTATAAAAAAAATGGTATCATCAAAATACTAAGATACTGGAAAAAAGTATTTAAATACAAGATAAATTTCAAAAAAGTATTTGAAATACAAGATGAAGAAAGGTATTTTGTATCTTGTATCTTACATACTTTTAACTTAGATAAGTCACATCTTTACATCGGTCTGTAGCAAATATATATGTCAGACTGAGCAATAACAATATATTTAAAAAAGACACACGAAATAGATTGTTAATAAATCAGCTTCAAAATTGCGTAAAAACGTTTTGCTCAATATAACCTTAATTTTTACTAGGGCCCATCAAATCAAAACTTAAAATGCAAGGTAGGCCGATAGATGTGTCTGGGAGTATACATGTTTACAAAAATAATATCGCGAATTCGAATTTTTCTGGTTGTATCTTGGATTTAAGAGTTTTTTATCAGAACTGAAAATATACTTCATTCATATTGACTTATTGATATCTCTATTGAATTATGCACTACATTTTTTTCTATTTTTCCTACCGGGTGATTGGGTATTCAGGACATCTCTTAGCTTATAAGAAAAATGGACGCAAAAACATTATCAGCAACGTTGTTTTCACAATTGTAATGAACACATAAAAGACAGTCTTGTGCGATGATCAGTCATTAATATTATGTGGTATTTGAATTTAAAAATACCCAGCGACACAACTCAGCTTTGCGCTATTAAAAATTATAAGAAGTCGATCAAATATGTACGAGTATATGATAAAAGCCTTTGTCACTCAAGAATGATGGAGCTTACTACAGTCGAAAGAAATTTCTAAATTCGCTTCAGTAGTTCCAGAGATTAAAAGCCTCCCGCCCATAGGTGCGTTACTATCGGTCAATAATATCGTTTGCGTTATTGCGATATTTTGTCATATTTCTATTGCGCGTGTAACTTCGTAGCCGTTCTCATACATATATGTACTTAAAAAACAAATATCGCAAAAACGCATCGGATATTATCGACTGATAATAACACGCCTATGGGGAGGGGAGAGGCTTAATTCTTTCAAACAAAATTACCCTCTTTATAATCTTGATGTTTTTTTTTTAAATATATATATATAGCCCAGGAAGGCAAATGACTCTACCCCACCTGATGTTAAGAGCTGATAAAGTCCAAACGCAAAGATAGCTGGTACAGCAGTTTTGAACTGCCACACCAACCATCCTCACCTTGCCGGCCTGCAAAAAAGTTTCTTCACGCCTCTCTTAAACGACCCCAGATTATAGGAAGGAGGGAACACGTGCGCGGGTAAAGAAGTCCACTTACTAATAGTACGACAAAGAAATGAGTCACCAAATTTCTTTGTTCGTGTTTATGTTAATAATCCATGGTGTATGGGTGGTTTGAAATTGTAATACAGGTAGAGCACAGTAGATTTACTGCTCCAATTCGAGCGCCTGCCTATACTCGTATATTTAACCGTCACCTTGCAAAGTCAAATAACATTTCGGTGGTGTTGTGTTTCTGTAGGCAAGTAAGGTTTCCCAGGCTTCACTGAATTGGGGATGCGGTAAGAGTACGCAATACATATTATAATAGGAAGTTATAGGTAGGTGTATTTGTGTGTACTATCGCACATAGTAGGTAATGTTAAGGTCACATCTACGCGTTGTCCATAGGGCTCATATATTTTTTGTTACTTGACACCGATCATGGACGTATAAAAAAAGACATTTTTTATACGTCCATGACACCGATATCGTCTGCTCAACTTGCTTCTTTCGCATTTTTATCAATCCCCTTCGTGTAAAAGCGTTAGATTTTCTGAATTGTAGTAAAAGCAAATAAACCATTTAATAAAGACGAAAAAGGTTGGTCCAATGCGGGTTGGTGATAGAAAACGCTAATACAGTCGGGACCAATACTTCGCGTGCTTTTGAAAGATAGAATGAATACACGTAAATATTTTTTTTTGATCACCACACCCAACACTGAACAAACTGTGTGAAACTAGCAAAGTTAAACTACACAACAAAAATGACTATCAAAATTCTGTTGAGTTCAAAATATTTTCACTCCCCCTTAGAGCCCCTAACGGAATCTAAAAATAATGCCGAGCTTGTCGCCCCCTACGTTTAACGTAACCCATCTTTTCTCGGAACCCCTCCCTTTTTTTACAGTAACCAAATGTGTCAGACAGTGGAGCGCACCCCACATAAAAACCGGTACCTTACCTACCACTCGGCACCCCACTCACAACCGACCGACTTTGTGTGTAAGCTGTATTACGAGTTAGCGTTATATTCGGTTATACTTGGACAGAATAAAATCGGGAGACCTCCAATTTTGTAGTTCTGAAAGAATGTATGCTGTTGCAGTCATTTGATCATGGAAATGATTGATTAAGAAAATATATTACAAAATCATACAATTATATTTGTGAAAATATGTAAAATATGTGTGTATTTGTGTTGTAATTAGTCAACATTTGTAGTTAGCAGCTTCTAATATTATGTTAATCTTATTATTCTAACAAAAAAAGTTTCTCAAGTTGGCGAGTTTGTTCGTTAGCATTTTTCATTTTAACTGACAAGTTGAAATTTTAAATCGTAAATTTACTAAGATACAAAAATCTAGCAACTAAAACACTTAAACAATAAATTAATCATGTTCTATAGTCAAATAGTTTAACTAAAAACTACCGTTTTTGCAGTTGGCTCAAAAAAATACACTCACGAGCAATGAATCCGGATTACCTCTATTAAATTGAACTAGAATTGATGTATCTAATGAATTGTATTGGTGGCGACATTATATTGCGATTTTATGTAAATGTTGCTACTTCAGTTTATTACTAATGTATTTCTTGCGTCCATTCGTATTATCAGCTAAAAGATGTGTTGGATAGGTGGTTGGAAAAAATATTGAACAATTCAAGATCTTTCCATAGGTCTTAATAATTACAATAATGGGACTTATTTTAACAATTTTTATGAATAACTAGCGGCCGCGGCCGCCCGCGACTTCGTACGCGCGGAGTTAGTTATTTGCACATACACGTTGTTACAGAATGCGTTGAAGAAAAAAAAGATTCACTGCTCGTTCCCCGTAGGTGATAGCGTGATAATATGTAGCCTATATATTGTCCCGACTTCTTAATAATATTTGCGCCTTTGAAGTAAATCCATGCAGTACTTTGAGTTTGTCCCGGACATACATAGAGACAAAAAATCTAAAACTATATTTTTGGCTTCGGTATCGACTGTAGATCACACCCAAGTGTTCTTTTAAAGAAATATTCGATGTACAGTTTTGACTTACCTACCATTTTATTGTATGTATAGATATCAATATTTGATGTGACTATACGGTCGTTATCGACCCGCTATAGCCCGCGACCGGCCAACCATGGTAGTAGGTAGGGTGGTGATTTCAAGGGGGATGTTGGATAAAAGGGGTTCCAAAGCCGACACGACATACGCACCCAACCCCCATTAAAATTGTTCCCACTATGCGAAACCAGCTTACGTTAGGGACACGAATAGGTTTACGACGATCCATTTAAATATTCATGTATCCTAACTTTTAATATTATGAATGTGAAATTTTGTAAATTTGTATGTCTGTTACTCAATCACGCAAAAACGGCTGAACGGATTTGTGTTCGGCCCACATTAGTTGAATCGTGTGAGTGAGCACTGGTGGCATGTCGCTGCTAATAAAAAACGAGCGAGCCTTACAGTAGTCGCGTATGATGTGTAACATTTGAAAACTCACCTTATATTAGTAATAAAAGTAATAAAACCTACTACAAAAGGAATAAGGCATTTGAACATTATGTTCTAAAATCAAATTAAATAGCGCGCGCTTTCGTGACTTCCTGTTACACACTTCCGTCCCATTTCACGAAATCACTCCCACAAATTGCAGGAAAGCGAGAGGAAAGATGTTACACATCAAAAACGTTTCTCTGCGTTCGTGACAGGCCGCCAATGCCGACTCATACACGCGCAATCGATGGAGCTTTAATATCTTTACTTAGTTATTTATTTTAAACTTTATTGACCAAAATTAATAATGGCGCAATTACATTTGGTCGTTAGCCCGTATTCGGGTGCACAAAGCAATATTTACACTGGAATACGGGCTGGAAGAAGGACGGGTAAACAAAACAACCATTGGCGTATTTGGACTAACGACCAAATGTGATCGCGCCATAATAATGTTGCAAAATGCGGACTTAATGCTATTACATTCTCTCCCAGTCAACCTTTGGGAAAAACGAAAAAAGGAAGGGCGGTATAAAGCTAAATCTAATATGTATATTAAATTCTCGTGCCACGGTGTGCGTAATTAACTACTCCGAAACGGGTTGACTGTTTTTCGTGAATTTTTTTATTCAGTAAGTCTGAGAATCGGACAACATCTATTTTTCATCCCCCTAAATGTTTAGGGTGGTCTAATCTGAAATTTTTTTCGACATTTTTTTTTAATTTTTTATGAGACATCATACAAAAATACATACAACCCTAAATTTTCACCCTTCTATCACCAACGACTATTTTTTTATGGCGGAACGAAGTTCGCTGGGTCAGCTAGTATACATATATATATATATATATATATATATACATGATGATGATGTTTAATAAAATGACACTTCATCTTAAATTTTGCAGCAGATGAGCGTGAACATTCTGTTGAATATAAGTTTACTAAATGTGCTATGGGCTCCCTCCCGCTGGGCGTGTGGGAGTAATGACCCTCTCTCCCCGAGTAATTGGGGATACTTCCCGTGCGGCAATGGCTGGACGACACGACACTTAATACACCTAAACAGCGGGAAATTAAAGTGTATTCACCATTTAGGTACTAAGATATTTACAAAAGTAAAGGTACCTCGATCAGGTGGAACCGAAGAAAAACTGACACTATTATTCATTACTAGGCCCGCGACTTTTCCGCGTGGTTCAATTGATTTCCCACACAAACATTCTAGTCCCCCTTTAAGGATGATTTCTAGGATAAAACCTATCCTATGCCCTCTCCCGAGACTGAAACTATATCTATACTTAACACATTTTATCTCAATCGGTTCAGCAGTTTAAGCGTGAAGAGGTAACAGACAGACAAATACATTTTCGCATTTATAATAGTAGTATGGATAATAAACACATTATAGTCCCAGTTTCAGTGTGCCAATTCATCGCCTACAATACTTTCCGAAAGTAAGAAACCGTAACTGCGGATGGTTTTTGCTTCTATAGGCTAGGTAGGTATTTGTTCTGATATCGGCTCCTCACTTGCGCCGGGAAATTTGCGCCGAGAATTCACACCAGAGGGCCTACTGCCTAACGGTATTACTATGGTTATCGCTTTCGCTTACGATTCCATTTGTTATTACTAACCGTCGAAAGTTTTCAAATGACTCACGCTCATTTTATTTAATACTGTCATTATCAATGCAAAAGAAAAAAAAGAGCGCGAGGCATATTAGAATCTTCGGTAGTCAAAAATAACAAAGATGATAGCGATAGCCATAGCAATCACGATAGGCGGTAGGCCCCCAATGGCGATGATTCTCTACATCGAACGCGCGTGAAACCAGCCATATTCACATTCACGCTTGTTCGAAAGGCTTCACGGCACAAGTATGCTGCCGGCATCATGGTCGATTAGGCCATCACCTGAACCATTATGCCTGTTTTCAAGATTTCTAACCTTGTGTGCCTTATTTCAAATAAAATACTTAAATACTACCGAGACAGTTGTATTGAATGTCTACTACCGAATTGTTGAGGCCGGCTATCCTCTCTACACTATATAGTCCTTCGCCACAAGCCTGACGTCCTACGTGTGTTAAGGCATTTATCACTGGAAAATGTTACTAAATTAAGTAGTTATTATATGGGCATTATATAAATGGACTAGTTTGTCTCTAGTTGTGAATAACACACTGCGTTACTAATCTCAACCTTACCCTTTGTTATTTAAAACCAATTTAAACTCCAAAAATAGAGTACTGCCATAATTGCAAACACGTGGTGATTTTGGAAATTATATAACATAATAGGAATATAGGACTTTTGAACAATTTAAGCATCACACGTTTAATTTTAATTGAAAATAAACCTGTTTACTAATTCAAAGACTGAGCTCGTTACAATTAGGTAGTACCATAAATTAAAACATAGGCCGTAAGAAAATCTGAGGGTCTTGTAGGTACAAGACCTCCTGCGCAATGATCCCTTAAAAAAACAAAGTATGATAACAAAAACCGGACAAGCGGGAGTCGGACCGGGCCGAGAGTGCCGTACAAATTTGTAGATACCTACACATATTATAATTACCTACTTAGTAAAGTTAACAAAAATCTACAATTATTTTAGATATTTTCAAGTACACTTGCAGTATAAGACGATATGATTTGCCAAATTTCGTTTGATTTTTTCAGAGCTTCAGGGGACCGTAGAACTGAGTACCTATATGGTTTTTAAACTCCGATTGTACCCGAGAAAAAGGGTCTTGACAGACAGACGACAACAAAGTGATACTTTTGAGGTTCCGTTTTTTAACTTTTTGAGGTACGGAACACTAATAAAATAAATAAATACTTACATCCAAAGTGTGATTCGCAACGCAGTGGTACGTACGATTTTGCTAAATATTTCAATATTCGCGTTGCATCCGATACTCTTCGCACGATACCTATTTCAAAATACGTCACCGCGTCATCACGTCATTGGAAACGTTTACAACCCCCTACTCAATACATCGGAATATTCGTCCACTAATCGATACTCCGGCAAAAACAAGCGTCTATCGACCATGTACTGAGCCCCCAACCCGAGCCGACCTTTCTAGCCCCCTGGTCCCACGGCGTCCCGTGAGCAGGGGAGGGGCTTATCCAGAGGTACTAGATTGGGGACGCTCGGAGATCTAATTTATTTTCGGGTGGAGGGTTACCCGGTCTGTGGGGATACTGACGAAGGACGGCCCTTTGTGACGTAACATTTTAAACTTTGAACTAGTCATAACATAATATGTATACGTTTTCGTCATTCCTTGGAATTCTTCATCAATATGGACCCACATTTTATCAAATCAAAGTTCTCCCCATTTCGTTTGGCTGATGATACCATTAACATTTAAAACTAACCAAAATGGTAGTTACTGGCAATATAACACTTAAATGCTTAAATAAATGATAATTAAAAAAGCAAACGTGAGTGTTGTGAAACACTCGGTTGGAAAGAAGTAAAAAAATTACATAAATGGAAATGCGGCGCGTTCGGAGTTTACGATGCTGACACAATGTGCGATCACGTAAATTAAGTACATAACTTCGTATTACACATTACGATTCGAAACAACTGACGGTTCTGACGGAAAAATACAGCCTTTGAGCCTCGCCCCCATATGCCCCAAGTCTGTACTATCCGAAAAAATAATAGAAAAAAGTTCTAAAACAACATTGAAGCTGTGGGACCTCTTCGAATAAAAGTATTCCATAGATGAATATCTATATATATAAAACTCTGAGGTGACTGACTGACATAGTGATCTATCAACGCACAGCCCAAACCACCGGACGGATCGGGCTGAAATTTGGCATGCAGGTAGATGTTATGACGTAGGCATCCGCTAAGAAAGGATTTTGATCAATTCTACTCCCAAGGGGATAGGTAAAATAATGAAAGTTTGTATGAAACTTTGTCAATTTTAAACCGATCGTGCTGAGACTTTGCATGCAGGTATAAGAAGAATAATAGATGAATGTCATTGCGTATTAAACAAGCCTGAGAACAAAAACTGTAGTCTACACTTCAGCTCTACACCGAAGCGAAGCGAGGGCGGGCCGCTAGTAAAATATATACCCTTGGAATGTGCATATCAGTAGTGGGAAATCAACAGACAAATGACAATATGTTATCTTATATAATAATATAAGCTTACCTTTCCCGCATTCGGTGCATATTTTGTCCTTCGTCAAATGTGTCCAGCTGTGAATTTTGAGATGGTCTTTCCTCTTGTATGACTTTGAGCATATTTCACAGACGTACGGTTTGTCGTTGTACGCGTCCGGAGTTTTTACGTCTGCAGACTCCGAAAACGCATCGCTAGAGTCCAAGTCCTAGAAAAATGCCTTTTGTAAGCTTAAAAAAATTTGCCTTTATATCGATGTAGATACAGTCTTACTAACTTCGAACTTGTAAGTTTGTGTTAACTCGACGAGCGGCTGTCGTATTTACGGGCTGTCCAAGGATCTGATATACAACACTACGAAAAGGTAGTGTTATTATTTTTTGTGATTTATCATAAAGGAGGTTACTCCCTCAGAAGTGGGTTCCGTATGAAAAAATCGATAATGTAACCTAGGGTGTGGAAAAAAATCCCTTCCATCGATATTCCGTTCCTACTGGGGGCCATTCGCCTAACGGGATTGCTTTGGAAAACGCTATCGCTTACGATTTCATTTTGTTATTTCTAGCCGCCTGAGGTTTTCAAATGCCTCGCGCTCTTTTTTTTTCTTTTGCATTGGTAATAACAATATTAAAGAAAATGAGGGTGAGGTACTTATTTGAAAACATTCGGCGGTCAGAAATAACAAAATGAAATCGTAAGCGTTAGCGTTTTCCAAAGCAATCCCGTTAGGCGAATGGCCCCCTGGTCGAAGCGTAATATTATATAGCCTTAAGCCTTCCTCAATAAACGCACTATCTAACACAAAAAACCTTTTAAATCTGACCATTTGCGAGTAAAAAAAAAGCTGTTCTGGTTGTTTAAAAAAATTTTTCGTTTACACTGCATAGACAAAAACAAACTAGGCCACAGATTACCAAATGGTAACTGCTTGACACAGTACATTGTTTTTATATCTTTAAGAAAACAATTAATAAATAAAAAAAATAAGAGTGGTAGACCAAACCAGATTTTCCGCTGGAAATCAAGCACCCACCATACTGTATATTCACCACCATAAACCAGTTCTTCATATCTAATAGCTTATGTGGTTGTTTTGTTTTTGAATGAGGTAGGCATGTTTAAAATCATTGACCAATTAGCTTAGTAGGCTGCAAATATTGTTTCACACATACGTCCATAAGACCAGTGCTCTGGCAGTGTATACATTATAGACTGACATAAATTATCATTCAAGTCCTCATTAAATATAGGTATAGAAAAAAAATAGACTGCACCCTAAACTTCAGGTGGGGTGCAGAAAAATGTGAAAATATAAACTTTTATAGGAGGAAAAGTACTCACCTCACTTGCACATTCCATCTCATCAACTGAGGCGTCCAGCTTCTCATATTCGTCCATGATTTCACATTTGATTTCCAACAACTCTTGTTCTGCCACAGGGTACATGTTCTGTTCCAGGAACAACTTGCTGTGTGTCTGCAGATGTTTCTGCAAGTGGTCTTTGCGATGGAATGCTGCAAATGAATTACATGCATCAAGTCTTTCTTATTGGGAAAGTTTGAATGCTTCCTTATTTGTTTATAGAATTTATATATGCATAATGATGAAAGACTTGTAGTATATTGTCCTAAATTATTTTTTCTGTCTATTAGTATTTTTAAATTGAAAACTCTTGTGTACACAATTCTAATTAAATGATAACTAAATGTTTTGATTGTTGTCTTACTTTAATTAAATATAGTATAATGAATAAAATTAGAAGTTGGTAAACCTGGAAAATTGTATACTGACATCTATCACACAATGAGCAAACTTGTGTCTTGTCCTCCTTGTGAATACTCTGATGTATGTTCAAGTGTTCTTTGCGTTTAAACCCTTTACCACATGTCTGGCATACATGAGGCCTCACTTGCTGATGTTCCATTGTGTGCCTGTCTAGATGCTCTTTGCGCTTTAATCTAAAATATTGATAGAAAATTGTAGCACTCAGACCTCTGTGGAGTCATGCGACTTTGTTGATATTAAGTCAATATTCTGTTGTCATTGCAGAATTATGTAAATAATATAATGTCCCAGAGAGCAAAAGAAATTGCTCAATATTTGCAATTTTGAGAAAAAATTCTACCAACAATAAAATATGTTGTTGCAGTAACTAGTAAGTTACCTCAAATGAAAAACATTATAACAATAAAACATAATAAGTTGTCTAGTATTATTAGATAAAGTGCTTTTATAGGAAAATCTTACCCAGTACCACATATTCCACACAGGAACCTGTACTCCTTGTGATGCATACATAAATGCAGTTCAAGTTTTTCTTTCTCTTCATATCTGGCTGGGCATTCCACACAACAGTACTGACACTGACCATTGCTACCCCTTAGAATAATTGCCAACTTGTTCCTTGATATCAGGCTTTTTTTTAGAGCATACTCCATTAAATTTGGGTCTGTCTCTAAAAGAGTACAATATGAATGATTGACAAATATAAGCAATTTTAAGATTTTAGTCTTGCCATTAAGAGTTAACTTTAAATATAGAATAAAAATTACCTTCTACAAGTCCATTGGCTGATCCCATACTGTCACCCTATTTAAATGCCCTGGAAAAACGTTCCTACTGTTAAATTTTTACAGAAAATTTAAAACTTTTACAGATTTAACTTTAAACACGTTACAATTGCTAAGCAAACTGAATTCAAACAATATTTTAAAAAAAGTTATCGCGATCTCTTCCCTTAACTACCATTGAGCGTTGCCTGAGGCTAAAGCTCCTCTCCGCGTACATAGGGTGAATACCTACCCTTTGTCTGCTAACATCCCCTACGAGAGGGGAGGGGACCCCACTACGAACCGTTACGAAGGGTGGGTTATAACCTTACATCGATTCAAAACCCACGACCTGAATTACTTTACTAGGGAAATATTTAAGACTACTATAAATACTTTAGTCACGACTTTTTTCAAAATTATTATTGAAGACGTTTGTAATACAAGCATTAACTTTGATAAAATAAGTATTTACACTTTCACAAAACTTACAAAGGACTTCAAATTCAGTACCTACAAAAAAGTTATGTACCTACTTATTTTTAGTTCATTCAGAATACACGTACTTCATAAATTTTATTCAATGCACGCAAACAAAACAAAATACACCATTTTAAACACTAAAATCACTTCACAACACACAAAACCTTGACCGGTTCACGCTACGGTACGTGCGTGCGAATGAAAGAAAAATTGAATGAAAATAAATACTATACTCCCCTCCCCTCATCTGGCAAAGGTAACGGCAAGGAAGCCAACCAAGGCGAGAATTTCATGCCGGCACTTCACTTGGCTTTTTCTGTTTGTCTTTCTTTTACTTTACATCAGTCTTTTTCATTCCTTAGAAAACATAATAGAGACAGACTGATGTCAAGTTTGCAAATGAGGGGCCAATTTCGAGAAGTCTATATGTTGAGGACATCGGGACTCTTTAATCTGATACCATTTAAATCAGCTCTTCAGATTAAGTGTTGTTTATTGTTGAAAGCATTAAAAGAATAGTAAAGAGTCCAAGATTTTTTTTAGAAGTACAGTAATACGAAAAGCCTTTTGAAGAGCCGGCATTAAATCTAGATTCTAAATGGGCTGTTTGATTTTTTATCTTCCCTAGCCAAATACGTAAAGCCCAGTGAAATACTAGCAATACATTTAGTATTACTAGCATTTCACTGGGCTATTCGTATTACCTATTTGTAAACTGGACAAGTTTGTCCTTATCATGCTTTAGAATGAGAAGGACATGATATCAAGTTTACAAAGAGCAAACACGAATAGCCAAGTGAAGCACCTATATAAGATGCGTGATATCGTGCTATCCCTTTCCTATTTGATATCGTGCTATGAGTGCTATGAGCAATACTTTGCTTTAAAGCAGACCGTAACCTGTACACACCTCGAAGATTTAATAGCGCAATCTGAACGCAACTTTAACCTGGCCCGCCCTTTCCTATTTGACATTGACAGTTAAATAACCTAGGTACCGCCTGTAAATACCTACCTACATTCTCCATCCATTTTCACGTGGGATAATTTGTGTATACTCAATAAAAAAAAGTTGATTTGTATCCAAGCATATTACGATGACTAATGAACAGAATCTGCACAAACTTGCTGTCAAACTATTTGATATAGATGCTGTTAAATTTGGTCAATTCACCACTAAAAGTGGTATGAAAACTCCGGTTTATTTTGATTTGAGGGTTATCGTAAGCTATCCGGATATTATGGTAAGTACAAGTAAATAATAGATAGTACCGACCTCAACTTTCTTTGAGTGGAATTATGTAATAACAATGAACATTTTGCCTCAGGACCTAATATCCAATCTTTTATATGACTTTTCCATGAAAGACACTGAATACGACCATTTATGTGGTGTGCCTTACACTGCTTTGCCAGTTGCAACGTTATTAAGTGTGCGAAGTAAAAAATCCATGCTTATGAGACGTAAGGAAGCTAAAAATTATGGTACAAAGAAAATGATAGAAGGTCATTATAAGGCTGGTCAATCTTGCATCATAATTGAGGATGTAATAACCTCTGGCTCCAGTGTTCTTGAAACTGTTAAAGATTTACGCAATGAAGGCTTAAAAGCAGATAAAGCATTAGTAATCCTAGACAGAGAACAGGGTGGAAGACAAAATCTTGAAAAGAACAATGTACATGTAGAAGCATTAATTACCATGTCAAAGTTGATGGAGATATTGGTAAAAAAAGAAAAAATTGATAGCACTATGGCTAAAGAAGTACAAGAATACTTGTTGCAAGCCAAGGCACCAAGTCTAGGTATGAATTGTCAAAATATAGTAAAATATAACCTTATAAGTGTTTAATGTACTAAATGTTCTTAAATGAAATATTTTTTTTAGATGTTGAGGTGGATCGTACATTATTGACATATGAGAAGAGATCAGAATCTGCTTCTAATACAATTGCGAAGCAATTATTCAATATCATGGCATTGAAGAAAACTAATCTATGTCTCTCAGTTGATTTGACATCTGCTACAAGTATCCTGGAAGTTGTAGAAAAAGTTGGTGAACACATATGTTTACTAAAGACACACATTGATATTATAGAAGATTTTAATAGTGATTTTATTGCGAATCTCAAGAATCTAGCAAAGAGGTTCAATTTCTTGATTTTAGAGGATAGAAAATTTGCAGATATTGGCAATACTGTAGTTATGCAGTATTCAAAAGGAACCTATAAAATAGCAGAGTGGGCCGACTGTGTTACAGTGCATTCATTGCCTGGTGAAGGCATTTTAAAAGCAATCAGTACATGTAATGGTGTTGGTAGCCAAGGCATATTCTTACTAGCAGAAATGAGCAGCAAGGTATTTCATTTACATTAAAATAAATTTACTAAATTCTTGTCACAATTTAAACATACCTAGGTTTATTTATGTATGAAGTTGCAATGAGAAAAATAAAATCATTACCAGGTGAGACATTCTCAACTGCTTTTCCCAATGGTCAGAATCACAAAGGAATAAAGGCCTATAACCAAGAGGTCCCAGTGTGGACTAGAGGCTGTAACTACTGCAGATATAATGGTGACCAGCTGCTTAGTATGCCTCTTGAAGTATGGAGAGATAATAAGTTTTTGCCCCCCATCTCATGACCAATAATTAAAAATTGCTTATCTTTAATATTTTGTTATTGCCATATATAATATATCCTTATTATTAATTTTAGGGAAATCTAATAACAGCTGAGTATATAGCAGAAACAGTGAAAATGGCATCAAAGTATCCAAACTTAATAACTGGCTTTGTTGGTCAAAACAAAGGAGTATTCAAGGACCCTGGATATATTCAGTTAACACCAGGAGTACAGTTGGAGTGTACAGAGGATGAACTTGGTCAAGTGTATAATACCCCTGAGAAGGTAATCTTGGAGAAAGGTGCAGATGTGGTAGTAGTTGGAAGAGGCATTGTGAGTGCTAAGAGCCCAGCAGCACAAGCTGTTATTTACAAAAACATCCTATGGAAATATTATTTAAAAAGAGTTTCAGACAAAATAGAATAAAAAAAAAACAGATTATTAGAAATCCATATATTTAGATTAACAAGATTGAGAATCTATGTTGTAAATTTACTATCACCATAAGTATTAGAATAGAATAGGTAAATCGAAATATGGATCAAGTGAGATATGTACATAAAAATGTTTAATCCAATTAATCTGTATCTGTGAACTTTATAGTAGGGACCAAATATTATTAAAAGTTAATATTCCAAAACAATGTTGCTGCATTCCAGTAATATTTAGGTAGAAAATACTTTAATAAATTTTTATATGTAATGTTAATATTAAAAAAGAAAATTATCATTTACCATTGTCAGTCAAAACAATAACAATATTTGTTTTGACTGACAATAGTAAATGATAATTTTCTTAATAACTTTATAGTTTTGATATAATAAATAATAAAATATTCTTTATTTTCCGAAAATTTTCACTTCAGTTTATTTCGACAGAATGACAGTCATAGCAAATTACAAAACAAAATTGAAGACAAATTGCAAACTGCCTATACAACCTACTAACACTGCCCCTTTGTGTAGGCATAAATAAAAGTAACAGCCAACTAAAACATAGAAATTAACATTAACAGCTATTATCATTAAAATATAAGAAACAATCAAAAACATTTAACAATTTGATTAGCAATTGATGCTTTTCCTTACTAAGCACCTTGGTAAGTAAATCCGTGGCTAATTCAGCTGAAGGCTTATACACAACGTCAATGATACCTTCATTTACAAATCTGTTTCGTTCTTTTGAACGATTCATTGTTAACCATTTTGTGAGTGCTCTGATTGTCGTTAGAAATAGTTATTGGTTCTTGTAAGATTCTTTATGAATTTGGCCTCCTTAACAGCAAAACCTAAACTATAAAACTCGGCTTCGGTAGAAGACAAGGCAACAAAATTTTGTTTCCTCATGGCCCAATTTTCTAAAGATTGTCCATACATTGTTAATGTGCCGGAGTATGAATGCCTATCTATTATGCTTGACAGCTTCAGCACAAAATCGTTTAATCTTACCAGCATCATGAATCATAGCTCTCGCTTTCTTTACCACAGTTCTATTGAGCCTCTCACTCACACCATTTTGATGTAGTGAATATGGTATTGTAGATTCATGAAAAATTCCAAATTTTTTGGGGTAGTTACAAAAATGTTTATTAATGTGCTCAGTACTGTTGTCAGACCTAATAATAATAATCTTTTAATTGTAAGGTTAGTTTGATTTTCAGCGAATTGTTTAATTCTATAAATGCTTCCAAAAAAGTTTTGGTATCCTTGCGTTTTAAAAAATATATAAGTTTCGCGTGAAAAATCATATGTAAAAGTGGTAAAATATCTACAATCAGAAAAACTTGGCACTGGTAACGGACCACATAAATCCGAATGAATCAGCTCAAGCTTACATGTGGTACGAGTCTTAGACATCTTAGGAAAAGACTTCATTTTATGCTTTCCTTCAATACAAGGAACACAAGCCAACTCATCTGTTTAAA